GGTTTTAGGTATTCAATGACGGTTAGATGAGCATCCAGGGGCCCTTTTAAAGGCCATCATGGTCCAGCCCCCTGAAGCCCAGAGGTTTAAGATATTTAACTACGGTCATAATTTATTAGCATCCAGGGGCCGCCTTAGGGCCCTTGGTGGGGTCTAGGGGGCAGAACCCCCGAAAGCTCAGGGGTTTTGGGTATTTAATTACGGTCAGATGACCATCCAGGGGCCCGCCTTACAGGGCTCTTGGTAGGGTCCAGTGGGCAGAGCTTCCGGAAGCTCGAAGGTTTTAGGTATTTAGTATGGTCAGGTGAGCATCCAGAGGACCGCCTTAAAAAGGTATGACTTACAAAAAAATTACCGGAAAACCATGTCATTTCAGCAACACTTGTAAATCACTGGTATCGAATAAGAAATACCCCCCCCCCCCCCCCCCATCAGTACGCCAGCGTTCAGAGGCTCATGTCTTCTCACCCCTATAACAAAAAACACGCACGCTTTCCCACAGGCGCGGATCCAGGATTCCTAGGGGGGGGGGTGGCCCACTTTTTTTTGTTTTGGTCCAAAAAAAAAATCGCAACGACTCGGCCGTACGCGCCTGCTCGTCTGAATACAGTTTTTCCCCTCCCGCGCGAAGCACGGAAGCTTTTACGTTTCATTAAATCATTAGAGAAAGAAGACGATTCGTTGTACCGTTCTCGACTCTTAATCCTCGTCTGAATTCAGATCCCCCCCCCCCCCCCCCCCCCATCCGCGCGCGCGGAGCGCGGAAGCTTTTACGTTTCATTAAATCATTAGAGAAAGAAGACGATTCGTTGTACCGTTCTCGTCTCTTAATCCTTGTCTAAATTCAGTTACCCCACCTCCTGCGCAAAGCGCGGAAGCTTTGACATTTAATTTAATTATTAGAGAAACAAGACGATTCGTTGTACCGTTCTCGAAAATAATCCTCGTCTGAAATACATTCTTCCCCCTCCCGCTCGAATCGCGGAAGCTTTTACGTTTCATTAAATCATTAAGAGAAAGAAGACAATTCGTTGTACCGTTTTCGCCTCTTAATCCTTGTCTGAATATAAAAAATGTTTTTTATATGTTTTTTATATTAAATGTCAAAGCTTCCGCGCTTTGCGCAGGAGGTGGGGTAACTGAATTTAGACAAGGATTAAGAGACGAGAACGGTACAACGAATCGTCTTCTTTCTCTAATGATTTAATGAAACGTGTCTGCTCCTTTTTCTTCATATTTCCTTTTCCTTTTCTCTCCTCTCTTCTCTCATTTTTGGCCGGCGTTTTTTTTTTTTTTTGGGGGGGGGGGGGCCGCCACCACTGCCCCCCTGGCTACGCGCCTGCGGTCAGATGAACATCTTTTGATACCTTGTCCGCCCCCGGAAACTCATGGGTTGAAGGCAAATTACGGTCAGATAAGCATTCAGGGGCCCGCCTCAGGGCACCTGGTGGGGTCGAGGGTACGGAAACCCCTGAATCTCAGGGGTTTCAGGCATTATTTTGATTACGGTCAGATGAACATATTTTTATACCTTATTTGTGACATTGGCAGGACACTGATTGGCGTAAGGTCCAGCGGGCGGAGCCCCAGAAACTCAGGGGTTTGAGGCATTACATTACCGTCAGAATAGCATCCAGTGGGGTTCATGGGGCAGAGCCCCGGAAGCTCAGGGGTTTAGGCTTTTGATTACGGTCAGATGAACATATTTTTATACCTTATTTGTGACACTGGCAGGACACTGATTGGCGTGAGGTCCAGCGGGCGGAGCCCCCAGAAGATCAAGGGTTTTAGGCACTAAATTTCGGTCAGATGAGTATCAAGGGACCTGCCCAAGGGCCTTTGGTTGGGTACCGGGGGCAGAAGCTCAGGGGTCTTTATACCTTATTTTGTTGTGACACTGGAAGTTTACTATTTTTTCTTTCTTGCTCTCTTTCTTTCTATTTCTCTTTAAAATGCTCTTCCAAACAAAAATTGGGGGGGGGGGGGGAGCTGGAGGCTCCCGATCCCCGCCGTTCCGCGGGCCCTGACATGTAGGCATCTCAAGAAGCATATTTCTTGCCTGGCTGTTAATTTACAAACCCATAAAAAAGTATAGTTTACTAAAGAAAAATTCGGAAAATTATGTCATTTCAGCATTATGTGTAAACCGCCTTTATGGAATTAGAAATAAACCACGTTTAAATTTTATTTCCCCCGATCAATACGCCAGTGCCCCCCCCCCCCCCCCCGAGGCGACAGCCTAGGAGGCGAGGCTCTTTCGCCCCCCGATCATTTCTTCCCCCTTTTCTTTTCTACTTCCTCTTCTTTCTTTCCCTTTCTCTCCTATTTCCCTTCTTTTCCTTTTCTCTCTCTCTCTCTCTCTCTTTTTTTCCTACTTTTTTTTCCCCCTTCTTTTTTGGTCCTTCTTTTTTTTCCCCTTCTTTTTTGGTCCTCCTTTTTTTTTTCCTTCTTTTATTTCCCTTCTTTTTTCCCTTTTTTCCAGGGGGGGGGGGGCGGCCCCCCTCGATCCGTCACTGCTTTCCCATCCTCTCACAATATTTCCACGATATGCGCGTATCGCTATTATAAAAACCTCCATTTATAAATATAGGTGGAATTCGAAATGTTTAGGTAATTGAATTCTTGTTAACTTTCCTTTTCTTTGAATGGAATTTTATATGTGATTTAATTCAGGTTTTTTAATTTTGTTATGTTCTTTTGGGTTTAAAATACAAACCATTTTCACTCCTTTAGTGCTCTTTTGTGTTTGGAGGGGGGGGGGGGCGTTTTTTTTTTTTTTTTTTTTTTTTTTTTGGGGGGGGGGGGGCAAAAATGCGTTTCGCCCCCCCCCCCCCCACCCCTTCTGGCGCCTATCGACAAATGGATGTATGGAGATTGGAAATGAAGGGTTCGTTCGGTGAATCAGGTATTGGCACATGTGAGCCCCCTGTGCTCTCAAATCTTCTATTACAGAGAGTTTTTTTTTAAAATAAAAATTGATAGATTGGGTGGAGGAATAAAATCAAAGTATATCTATGTGATTTTATAAATGTTCCCTTTCCTCTAAACCGATAGATATCTTTTCGTAAAATTCAGAGTGGCAACTTTTACTTAAAGGACACTTCCGTGTTTCTGAGGACATTTTTTTTTTTTTTTTTTTTTTTTGGAGTCCCAAAAAAAAATCGCAACGACTCAGCCAGCCGAAAAGTCGCTCAGTGGGGGGGGGGGGGGGGGGGGGGGGGGGGGGGATAGTGAGCAAAAAAAAAAAAATTCGTCCTCGAAAATTTTAAAATTTGCACCCCCCCCCCCCCTTGAGCGCCAGGGGGGGGGCCCAACCCCCAAAAAAGGTAAAAATCGCGTGATTTTGCATGGCTTTTTTCTCAAGGGGGGGGGGGGGGGCCGGGCCCCCCGGGCCTCCCCCCTGGATCCGCCACTGGGGGCACCAAACTTTCTGAAGAAAAAAAGTGCACCTACAAAGGGAGATCTCAAAGCGAAATTATACAATTTTGTAGACATTTCAATATACCCCTTTATTGTGATTACATTATCAGGGATGATTTCAATGGTTGTTTCTCTCTTTTCTTCATACACGATATTGCTTAAGCATCATACTTTGCAGTTGGATGTTGTGGTCTGAATATTCATTTGCGAGGGAGCGAATGGAGCGAGAGAATATTTTTAGATTTGTGAGGTCGCAGTGCGAAAAATTACATCTCATAAAGAGGGGAAACAATCATGGGGGTATAAGCACAATCTCATTATAGAAGATTGAGAAGACCTTTAATAAGTAACATAATTATATCATCGATACATGCGAGTTAGTGTAGCGAGTGAGCTTTGGGGGGAATTGCTCTTAGTCGCTTTAAATTAGGGGCACGTTTACGAAGAAAAAGGGACACTTATCAATAGGGGATAAAGACACTTATTAGAAAAGAACATGAGCACGTGTCAAAGTACAAAGGGTAATCCTCAGAGGTGAAAATGGGGGCAGTTCTTGCACCGAAAAGGAGCACTCATTGGAGATGAAAAAAGGCACTTATGAGAATGGGAAATGGTCATTTCCTGACGGAAATGGGGCACTTATCATATTTTGTATAGGGGCATTTATCAGAGGCGAAATGGAGCATTTATGAGAATGGAAAGAGGGCACTTATCATAGACGAAAATGGGTAATTATGAGAAGGGGAAGGGGCACTCATCAAATTAAAAGGGGCACCGCTCAGATATGAATAGTGGCCGCATTATCAGAGGTGATGGGGGCATTTGTCAAAAGTGAAAAGGGGCACTTACTAGAGATTAAAAAGGGCACTTATGAGAATGGAAAATTGACACTTATTGCAAAGGGAAAGGGGCACGTGTCAAAATAAAAGGGGCAACTATATCAGAGATGAAAAGGGGCACTTCTTTCAATTAGGGGCACTTAATTGTCAAAGTTAAAGAGGCATTTTCCCATGATAAAAGGGGCAGCCCGGCTGCCTCCCGGGACTGCCTCTGCTGTGTGGTCTAGCTGCCTAGCTGACGCCCCTTCCTGATGGAAATGTAAGACAGTTTTCATTATTTGTGATCGTAATACATCCACACCCCCTAGTCAATCTGAATAGAAAAGATTTTGTCATAGACCAAAAACAAACAAATAAACGAACAAACAAACGAAATTCACTCGCCTTTCCCCCACAAAAAAAATATATAATATGGGTGCCAGAAAATACAAGATGCAATTGACACATGTCATAATTGTTTTATAAGTTTTATTGCGCAAGGAAGTGCAACATAAATTCTTGGCACCGTGTCAGGTACGATTGAGCGGGCGGCGGCTCTGCGGCTCAGCGGCTACGAATCGCAACATGCATACCGTACGTGCATACACATCAAAGAGTATTATTAGCAAAGACTAGTTACTCCCCAAACTAAGCGTGTGAGCATACTGTGGTACAAGCATCGAAGCGTAACACGTAAAACTCGTACTTTTTGTCTCTTATTCTCAGCAATCCTCGCCTGCCGCCCCGCGCCTTGAACCGGTACTTTGTACTACCGAAGTTAGTCAGAGTAGATTGTCTTGACTGTTAAGTTTTGTTGCCCCATTTGCCGCTGAGCTGACTTTCGTGAACCCACAGGTAAATAGATGCTAAATCTTTATTTACTGTTGTACGTTTTATTTGGATAATATAAACATTTTTTCTGAGCAAAATCAATGTGTAGCACCAAGTCTTCCTTGTTTGCATTATTTGCATGTCTAAATCTTTATGTTAAATCATGATATCGTCTACTCTGAAACCAACCACCACCACCACTCCATTGCCGTCTTCGTACCCCGCCCGAGCGGGCTGGAAGTCCAAACACAGTTACCGTTCAACGAGTTACTAGCCGTACGAATACGAATTACGATAGTAGACTAGACTACAAGCTTCTGTATTGCTATTAGCCTATTACTATTAGCTAACAGTAACTGTTAATTCTGGTGTAAACGTGTGTACTATCAGGTTATGCTGCAGTGTAGATTTCGTTTGAATATTTCATTTGAAAAGATTTTGGGGCCTAACTTTAAACAATGCAATATCAACACCATAATTTCTGCAGTCATTTACATGTACATGATGATTTGGCGATCAAGTTTTTTTGCTGTTTGGAGTGTCCATACGTAATAGAGTTTGTCATTTAATGAGATGTTGAACATGTTGACGGATGCTGAAAAGTTTCGACATAATCCCACATAGGTTTTGTCCTATGAGCGCTTATTCAAATTGTAACTGTAAAGCTTTTAAAGATGTTCTTATTTTCATATATATCTTTTCTTAAAGCAACTCCTTGGCCCGAGTTCCTTACCAACCCAGAGACTGTTTTAATGGCTGCTGGACGCTTCAAGAGACCGGTCCCAAAGAAGGCTCTAATCTAAGATACCCTACTCTAAGATACCATCAAGCCAGGCATCATGGGAGTGCAGGGATTGTGGAGATTGGTAGAGTCTACAGGACGACCTGTGAACCTGGAATCTCTAGAGGGCAAAGTGATTGCTGTTGGTATCCTTTCTCAGATGGCACAGGGGTTTGTTTTTTATAAGCCTGTTTAATCTGCACATGATCAGACAAGGGGCGTTTGTATCAACTTTGTGAAACCAAAGAAATTGATACTGATCAGTTACTGATTAAAGTTATGTAAGCATTATAATTTTTTATACTAAAGATGCATTCCATGTTACACAGGTTGAAGTGTTATTTTCAAAACTGCACAATTAATCATGAAGCATACCTTTCTCTTTGGTAGTGATTTTTTATAAATGTGCAAAGAAGCACCTCTCCATGTTTAATAGATCTGTGGATATTTGGAGCCATTTGTTCAATATGCAAAGTAGGAACTGCCGAACTGGTATATACATGTACAGACCATTGGTTTTACTCTATTTTGAATATTTCCTAACTGCATCCGTAACCTTAAGTTCACAAAAACTTCAAGTTTAATCAACAGCGTAATTAAAATAATGGGGGCTCATATGCCACATGGCACTGAAAAAACCCAGTGTTCAAACCTACATACCTGGCAAACAGTCGTAACTAGATTCCACACAAACCACAAGAGCGATGATGGTTTAAAAACATCAGGAGAACATATATGGAATATCAAGTGAACTTAAAGTTTTAAAACTACGAGTGCACCCACAAAATAAAGATAGCCTTTCAAGTTTAAGACCACAGGCTAAACTAAGTTCATCACTTTTCCTGTGTGAACGTACTTATATCAGTGTGAAGACCATGTTTATCTTTCCTTGACACACTGTTCCTGTCAGATGTGAGTATCTGGTTGAATCAAGCTGTTCTTGGTGTCCATGGTAACAGCCTTTCTAATCCTCATCTTCAGGTTTTGTTCAATCGTATCTGTAAACTCCTCTTCTATCGTATCAAACCAATCTTTGTCTTCGATGGTGCTCCACCTCAGCTCAAGAAACAAACATTGGTAAGAACTTTACTTACTTAATGCATGGATGAGAAGGTCTTGATGGTTTTAGTCTGCTACATGATATCCAGCTTTTTATTTTTGTTTATGTGCATAACGATGCAAGCTGGACAAATAAGTTTTAAAGGGTAACAGATTTAGCTTCAAATGAAGAAATTTCAGATAGTTCTAATAAAAATGAAACAAAATGAATTTGATTGAATTTAAGTGCTTTTTCTACTAAAAAATTAAAAAAAATATTAGCTGTCAGTGACGAAATTGCCATTAATTTTTCCAAATTTAAAATGCAATGCAATTATAAAGTAGTTACATAAATGATATATTGAAAGAAATTGTTTTGTTAATAGTAAATGAAACATTGAGCTAAAAAGAAATTGTAATGTATGGTTACATATGTAAATGCTAATTGTATCATGACTGCACACATATATTATAATACATGACATTCTTTAATTTGTTTGGACTATAAGGCTGCTAGACGTCAAAGGAAAAATCTTGCTGCCGCTAGGACGGAGAAGACGACTGAGAGGATCGTTAAGAACTACATGAAATCACATGCTATCCAGGCTGTGATAGGAGAGAATGGGTAAGGATTCATCATAAGTTACGTATGTGCACTAGAGACAAATTTATAATAAACATTACAGGCCAGCAGACCTGCCAACCAGTACGATTTAGTCGTATTTATTACGATTTTTAGAAGCAAATACGACAGTACGATTTTCCTTAATAAAATACGATTTTCAACAACAACAATTTTTTTTTTTTTTTTTTTTTTTTAAATTAATATTTTGTGTATGCGTCCGCCATTTTCAATGGCAAAATGTCCATTCTGTCCTGTAAAATATCCTACAAGCATCTCACGTCGGCAATTTGGGGATGTTCATTGGTTCATCGAACACACCAGTCATGACGAAATCATGCGTATTCAACCAATGATCAATAAAAAAAATTCTTCCTGTAGGTAGAAACTGTAAGAGGCATTGATCCGCATAACAATCCGTGTTTATTTTCAAGAATACAACTTTTGTCAGTAAAATACAACTTTTGGGACTAAAGAATAAAGTTTTTAAACTCCAGAGGTTGGCAGGTCTGGGCCAGGGCCTGTAAAACTAAGCTTAGCAATTGATCGTACAATCAAATTTTGTGATTGATTGCACATAGTGATCAATGCAATCAATTGCAAAAATCAATCATACGATCATTTGCTAAGCTTTGTGTAATGGGGCCCTCTTGCATAAAAGTCAAGTTGCGATTGATCAATTGCGATTGAAATCAATCACAACTCTTTATGCAATTGAATTGCAGTCAAACGCGAAGTTGCATTTTAATTTTAGGACTTGCGTTTGAATTTCAGAGTTGTGTTTAAACGCAACTCTTTATGCAAGAGGGCCCTGGTCCTATAAGTTGTGCCCATGTCTCTGTTATGTGAAAAAGATATATTATTGTTGCAGATTTCAATGCAATCACTTCAAGAAAATCAGATCTGAATGCACAGTTTCTACTCACTAGCATGAATCATGAAGGTTAGACGTGCAATCCTGACATCCAATAGCGTTTAGTTTTACCTATATACTTTTGAGACACTAATTTTTGAATAATTCATAGTTGTATTTTCTGTAATCATTATATGTCAAGTGGGACCGGACCAGCCCTTTACTCTGCTACCGCTAATTCATTTGTTTCTCTGTTTGTTTTGATACCGTAGTGAGGGAACCTCACAGGATCTTCCTCCCCTCTATATTCCAAGGAAGAATGAAACTGATTTATATGAACTTCCTCCATTACCATCAAATGATCTTCATGAGAACAACAGGTGAGTAGACAAGATTCTTTTTCATCTTCTTCTTCTTCTTCCAGTATAAGTGCTGCTTCAAGGTGATGAAGATAAACGCACTGATTGTGTGTGTATATGTGGAGACTTTCACATATCCTGTTATTCCACATTTTAACTTTTTGTTCTTGTTGTGCAGGTGCATATATACATGTGTAAGTAAAAACATTCCCCGGTCTTCTTCATGTTCGTTGTCTTCTTCCTCTTTACTTTTCTTCTTCCTTTTCCTCTTCTCCTTACTCTTCTTCCATTTCATGTTCTTGTTATTGTTATTGTTCATGTTCTTTTTGCCACCTCAACCCCATCTGACATACCTTCATGCTGTTACCCTGTAATACAATGCTTGGTAAACACTGTGTCCTCTCATGATGCAACTGAACAACAATTTACATAAATTCAAGCTAACGATCATGATCTATTCACCCCCCCCCCCCCCCCCCCCCCCCCCCACTTTATGTGGTCTTTATTACCACTATAAAGATCATGACCCAATGTTCGAACAACTCATATATGTGGTTTAAAGGGATCGTTTGGCAATGTTCAATCTGAGATGCACGGCCCTACGTGTTATCAGTGTTTGTGATATGGAGTTATATTGAAGCCCTAAAAAAAAATTGCGCTTCAAAATGATCAAGAAGTGCCTCAAAAAAGTAAAAACCTTTGAGTGACCAGTTTTACCATACTCGTTTTCCCCAACAGACTTTAGTGTTGTGAAAACTGTTTGGCAAACACAAAAATTGATTTCGATTTTCAATCATAAATATCTTGATAATCAGATAGGTGATCGACTTGTGAAAGTCATGGGGTTCCTGACTGACCTAAAGGTTTATAGTTATCATTGCAGCATGAGCTAAATCAAGGATTTTTTTTAAGACAAAGTTACTGGATCCCTTTAAGTTAATCACATTTTTCTATTCTCAGTGGATCAGAGGATGAGGAGGAAGAAGACCATATATCCATTGCCATGGCAGCTCATCAGGCCGAGATGGAATCGAGATATCAAGACTTGGGAGAGTTAGACATTGAGTCTGAATCATTCAAGGCTCTACCTGTGGAAGTCCAACATGAACTCATCACAGAGCTACAGGAATCATCCAAGAAAAACTCCTGGGCTAGGATGCATCAGCTACCTAAGGTAGGCTAACTTCTGGTCCTACAAGCCTAAACCTAATCCTAACCCTAACCCTAGGATGTATCAGCTACCTAAGGTAGGCTAACTTCTGGTCCTACAAGCCTAAACCTAATCCTAACCCTAACCCTAGGATGCATCAGCTACCTAAGGTAGGCTAACTTCTGGAGGGGGGGGGGGGGTGTTTCACAAAGATTCTAAGTCAAACTTAACTCTAAGTTGGACTTAAACATTATGGAGAGCCATTTGTAGCCTTAAAATAAAATATATTCAAAAGCAAAAAATTAAAGGATTTTAGACTTTTTTCTATAAATTCCTCATCAAGAACATGAAATCTCCTTGATAATAGAAGATAAGAATGATTTAAATCATCATTTTATGCCTTTTGAAATAACTTTTATAAAATATTTTCCTAGATGCTAACTGCTTTCCATAATTGTTAAGTCCATCTTAGGATCTTTGTGAAACACCCCCTAGTCCTGCAAGCTACATCATCTGAAGGGCTAGACTGTAGCAAATGCTTGGGACACATGGGTGGTTATCAAACTCAATGTCCTTACCCATAATTAATTTTAAAAAAGGCTGATAAATTTTATGTCTTATCAAATCAAGTCGCTGGGAAACAAAAAGCATTTTTGTAAAATATTCCCTTTGCATCTCTATCGATCTTCCTATGTATTGTAGAATAATTATTGATTCCATCATTGAGCATGCACACACAAAAATGTAATTGAAAACACATTTCATAATCCCATATATATGCATTGAGGTATGTACATGTTTAGTTACACCATCTGCTTCAATCTATTAACAAACCTATTCGTTTTTGTCCTTGAAGGTATCTCAAGATTTCTCCCAGTACCAACTCAAGAAGCTTCTTAATAAGGGCAAGCTGCGTTTGAGACTAGACAATCTCAGGAAAGAAATGAGAACTAAGATGTCACTCTCTATGACTGCTTTACTTGATGCTCAGAGTATGTCAGGTAGTCAGGTATGTGATAATTTGTTTTCTCTCTCTCTCTCTCCCTCTCTCCCCTACTCTTTATGACTGCCTTCCATAAGAGGTGTCATTGTCGAGTAGATACGTCGATGGACTGTCGATCTCAAGGTCCGCGGTTCGAGTCCCACCGCGGCACTAATGTTCTTTGGCAAGACATTGATCTACATTTGTCACACTCAACCCAGGTGTTGTAAATGGATACCTGGCAGGAAATAATTCCTAGAAATGCTAGAGCACCGTAATGGTTGCCTTGCTAAAGCCAGGGTAATAATCGGGGCAGCGCCAGGAGCGTCACAACGTGACAGACATGTGCACTATATAAGAAGCCACCATTATCATTATTATTATTATGAGAGAAGTTTTCTTCTGTTTTCTCTTTTACCCATCCATCATAGATTTTTATTCTGTTTTCATGTAATCCTTTATCTTTTCTTTTCCGTTTCCTTCATTTTTCTTTGTCCTTCTTGAATAACGAATCATATGTGAGTGAGTAATTAGTTGTTGTTATTGTTGTTTCTATGTTATTTATAGGTAGATGCAGGTCGAGTAGCATCAGAAGACACCCAGCACTACATCCTGATGAAGAAAGGAAACAAACCAGATGAAGAGTCTGAAGATGAGAGTGGTGATGACATCGTCGTTGCATCCTACGCCGAGAGGGCAGGCTTCGCAACCAGTATGGATCTTAAGATGCAGAAGGTGATGAGGAAACGAGGATCTGCTACCATGGCAACAACACCATCAACATCGTCAAAGGATGACATAGAGATTGTACTTCTTGAGGATGATTCCACCCCTGCTAGCAAGAAGAGGAGAAGAGACCTTGCGGGTCAGGACATGAATGAGAGTGAAGCAGTAAGATTGGATGACAAGGCAAGCAAGGATGAGGCAGTCAAAGCAGAATTGAAGAAGTTCTTTGATCAGCTCGATGCCAAGATATCACCATCACAGAAGCAAGCAGGTAGTTCATATGCACCCGTCCCTGATGATGTAGTGTGTCTTGACAGAGTACATACTTCAAATGCAGAAGCATTGTCAGAAACTGCAAAGAAACTAAACTCTGCCCAATCTTTGTCTGCAAGGAAAGTTCAGGGTGTAAGTACGTTAACGGACGTTGTGATCATGGACGATAGTTCCACAAAGCATGAGTTGACTGTGAATATAGAAACTGAGGAAGGAAATGAAAGTGAGCCTTTGAAGACTGAGATGGGTGATTCTATTGTCAGAGATCTTTTTGCTAAAGAACCCTCAAAGGCTACAGAAAATGATAGGACCACAAATGAAAAGCTCCAAACAAAAGAAGAGAAATGTGAAATGATCTCAGTGAGTGGTAAGAGTAGGACTAGGAGCTTGGAGCACGTTGGACGAACTGAAGAAAACATTACCAACATAGATCCAAAGACCGTAGAGAGAACTACCACAGATGATTCACCAACTGCTGTTGCAAGAAAGGTGTTCAAGGAAGAAGACAGGGCCATGACCCAGAGGCAAGATATTCTGAAGGAACTCTTGAAGAAGAAGGAGGATATGAAGATCATAGAGCCAAAGACTGTAGAGAGAACTACCACAGATGATCCATCAATTGCTGATGCAGGAAAGGTGGCGCAGGAAGATGACAGGGCCACAACCCAGAGGCAAGATATCCTGAAGGAACTTCAGAAGAAGAAGGAGGATATGAAGAACATGATGAAAGCCTTTGAGAGTCGGATGGACGACTTCGATATACTAGATGTTCCTGATGATGATTTAGCATTTGATGCTGAATTCACTTCAGGGATTGGCGCAGAAAGTGGTAATCCTGTAGAGATAAGTGCAGAGACTTCTGAAACAACATATGATGATACAGGTGTTGGCACAAAGACTCTTGATGATGAGGTTAAAGGCACTGAGATTGTTCCAGGTTCAGACTTTAGTGAAAAGAAAATTCCTGATGCAGAAGTTGGTGCAAATACTGTTCATGATGTGGACGTTGGTGCAAAGAATACTATTGATGCAATGATTGCTGCTAAGGCTGGTACTGATGCAGAGGTCAACGTGAAGAATGATGTTGATCCAGGAAAGAGGGTTGTTGTAGAGATCACTCTTGATGAGCCTATCCAGGTGAATGGACAGACAGCAGACTCTGGTGAGTGCATCAATAGATGAGGATACACACTTGATTTAATGACATTGAGAGAAACATTAATTTACCGTTACCTTAGACAGCCAATCAGCGCTCGTTATATTCGCCCCTTGTTCCTTTTAGTTTCCGTTTATATTGATCGATTTCGGCTTTCTGTTTCATTCTTGTGTTTTACTCTGATGAGTGCAAGTCAAAAAGCTTTGGTATGGCTCTTTTCAACGCTATTCTCCGAGAGAGAAACGTGTAACATGAATGAGCAGAATTGGATTTCTAGTGAAACTTAGCCATAGACACATTAAGGTAGATTACCATGATTGAATGGATGAGACTGAGGGATCATAGAAATCATTGACAATTAGAAATGTGAACAATTGAGACATTTAGAATTTGAAAAATGACTATTGAACAGATCGATGTAAAGCCTTTTTTACACCTGAATTGGTAAACTGCCAACCCCTCCCCCCCCCAAAAAAAAGGGGGGGGGTTAAAGAAGGAGAAGAAATGGTGATTAATGTCTTTAATGTTCACGATTTGCAAGAGGCTGATTTTACATCTTTTAAACAATTTACAAAATATACATTTTAGTGAATGGATCCCTTTTCTTAGCCTTTAATGTGTGCTCTCGCCGACATATATTATTGTGGTTCTGGAAATCTTTTGCAACTTAGCAACTGCTCTAATATCTTTCTTGATGCAGAAGATCCTGTTAATACATCTGACCTATCTTTCATGACACGAACTTCACTGGACTCTGAATGGACATCGACACCATACCAGGTCGATAGTGATGATGATGTCCAGCGTGTCTAGTGAGTAATTCTCTGCATTTTATCGTGCAGCGAAGTCTGTTTTGGGGATTGTTAAACTATTAAAAAGTAATGGTGATACATAGTTACTATATTTACTATAGGACTGCAGAAGTCAGGAAAGAAATAGTATGGAGGTAAAAGCATTGTTGAAAGACTGCCTTCATCCTTCTATCAATTTCTAACTTGTATGAAATCGGGGGGATGAATTTCAAATGTAAAATAAGTATCAATTTCTTGTCCTACATGACAATTCAAGATCACATTGTCGTACATGTACAGCCCAATTAAAAATGTCCATATTTATCACTCATGGCAAAAGAATGCTTCATTGACATGTGATCTTTCTTCATAATATAAATAGTTACAATAACTGGTCTTTGTTTTAATAGAAGTTTCACTGAAGTGGGGTATGCTGTATTTTGACATCAAAACGTTATGCACAAGCTTGCTGTCTCTGTTGACCCCTAGGCTAATATTAGCTGATAGTTTCTTGTCTTTATGTGCCTCCTATTCTTTGTTCAATTGTTATCATTTTGTGTTTCTGAAGATTGGAATTATTGTAAAAATGTTTCATATTAAAGATTATATTTTGTTTGTGTAGCATGCAAGAATCTGATCAAGAGCCTGAGATAGATGAATGGCATGGAGTATATGTAGTAAGTATTCAAGATTACACTATCATTTTATTCACTATGCAAAAAAAAAAAGAAGGGGGGGGGGGGTTCGTTATTAACTCAGTCACACCACAAGCGTGACTCATAACCGACCCAAAACCAAATCCAAGTCTACTGAACTGACTTATGGCCTTTTTTCGTATTGTCGTCTAGCGACAGTTTCATCAGTTTGACTAAGATATGAATGCTGCTGAGTCAATGAACTATGAGGACTTCATTTACAAAGTGTGACTGTGCCTATTTTTAATTTTAAATGGAACTCTTAATAACTGTGGACAAACTACTCGGAGTATTTGATCGCATTCAATATGTGTCATTGAATGAAGGATGTATTAGCACTCAGTATCTGCTAATATTCCTGCTACATTTCATTGAAAATGATATGTCACAACAAGGGTAGAGCATACTAATACGGGTATCTATTTGTCAAACGTATATTTCTGTACGTTTTCAACTTTTAGTGTTTTGTGTAATTCTTTTGGTAGGATAAGATGAATGAGATGGAAAAGAAGTTACATACAGAGAGACTTGCTTTGGAGAAAGAGAGGAGGAAGCAACAGAAGAAATCATATTCTATTACAGACACCATGTATGCAGACAGTAAGGTAAGAACAGTAAACAGTCAAGATGATTTGTGCTGTGGTAAACAGTCAAACCTGTCTGTAAAGGCCAAGCAAAGGAAATAGGAAAGGCGGCTATTGTAGACAGGTTGCCATACTAGACAGATGGACAGTTAGAGCACGTTCTTGCAAGACAGTGACAAGGAATGGGATAGATGGCCTTTGTATAATGGTGGAAATTGTTTGGTTTTACTGTATTTTTTTGAAAATGTATCAATTTATCATATGGGGTGTAATGCCTCAAAAGTGCTAAGGATAGACATTCATTCAATCCTATTCTGTAATGGATGAAGGTGAGCAGCATTAAACGTGAGACTTGATGGCTCAGAGAGAAAGTACATCCGTCAGTTTGGCGGACATGTAGTTTACTGCTTAAATATGTGTATTTTCTATTTTATTGTCTTATCCATATATTTGTAACATTTTTTAACCATATTCTTTGACTTTTCATGTTTTTTTATGAAGTTGGTGGATAGATTCAATTCAATTCTGTTAGTAATTTCTCTATCCTTTCATGATGCCACAAATGACTAAAATCAAGTGAGTCAAAATGTTGCGGCGAGCAAACTACAAAATGATATAATCGTAATGATTCTATGTACAGGAGATGCTACAGTGCTTCGGTATCCCTTACATAGAGAGCCCTCAGGAGGCTGAAGCTCAGTGCGCTTTCTTAGATCTGACCAATCAAGCGGAAGGTACCATAACAGATGACGGTGATATCTGGCTGTTTGGTGGCAGACGAGTCTTCAGACATTTCTTCTCTAAGAAGAAGGATCCAGAATACTTCAGGGTGGGAGACATTGAAAGACATCTGTGTGAGTAGCTTTCAAATTTATACAAATCTGGCATGCCCTGTACATGAGGGGAAAGGCATATGAAAAATGAGGAATAGTAAATACAGGTAAAATTCATTACATGCTCATTTTCATAAATTATATTAATAAAATATATGAAATTATTTGAAAAATAATTTAGATTAAGATCATCATTTTTTTTGCTTTTTTCAATGATGAAACACCTTTAGAGGTTCCTTCCTGGAATTATATGTGTTGATTTGTGACTTAATACTTTAGTGTTACTTTACTTAACTATAAGAAACTGTTCACTCATTTTTGTTTCTCTACAATCCTAGTCGATATGTATATTTGATTGTTAGAGTAATAAACCATAAGAAGCGAATGAACTTTGTGCATCGGTGCAAGCATTTTTGACATAAGAATTGATATTTGAATGTTGCAGTATTTGACTGGAGCAGACTAATGCACCTAACCTATATGTACAAGTATAGTTGATACTTGATAGTGACTCCATATTTTTGACTGTTACAGTATTGGACCGCAAGAAGCTGATCAACCTGGCCTATCTGGTCGGGAGTGATTACACCCTCGGTATCCAAGGCATAGGGTCAGTGGGTGCCATGGAGATACTAGCAGAGTTTAAAGGTCATGGGTTGAAGACACTCAAGGATTTCAAGTGAGTTAAGACCCTTTTAGTTTAGCCGTGCCTACGTAAACATGGTATTAGAAGCCACTTCAGGGATATCACTTGGTCAAATGACCCACAAATTACATCCACAGATATTTTACATTTGGAGACGTCTCACTTTGTGCATTTAAAAATAATCACTGCAAAGTGATGGAGGTGCTTCATGATTACCATTTGTTTGCCATTTTGCTTGTGGAAGAATACTTCCACCTGTGTATCATAGAATATACCGCCAGTGCGTAAATGAATAATGATTACATAACTTTCATGAACATGTATCTAGCAGTCGTCCCGATGGGTTTTTCAGTTTTGATCAAATAACCTTTATCTGCCCATGTTCAGATAGTATCTTGTCAGTGGCTAATTGCAAAGAAATATTGATACCACATTGATGTTTTTGTATTTATCACTACTGTAGCATCTCTATGCATGAGGAATGATAAATGACAGCCTTCTATCTATTTATCAGGCTTTAGTTCATCCAGACATTGGACAAAGCCCTCCTCATAACACTTCCATTCTCTTCTGTCTCTAGCTATCCCAGTCCAAGCGGCCATTCTCATGTATGATGTTAGGTCATCTCTCCATCTTCTCTTCTGCCTTCCTCTTCTTCTCTTTCCCATCCTTGGTTGCCATTCTGTTAAACGATTTGTCCATCTATTGTCCTGAAGTCTTGCTACATGCCCAGCCCATCTCCAGTTTGATTCTCTGACTTTCTCCATGATGTCTTAACCCTTTGTTTTCTGGTGTTTGACTTTGTGATTGAACGAATAAATAAGTAAGCTTGTAAGATTGAATACCTTGGATTCATTTTTTGAAAAATAATCAAGAAAGTGGATCAAAACCATGAGAATGAAAACCATTGGAGGAGCTTGCAGCTAATGGCAGAGCTTATTGTCCCTCTTTAAAGTTGACTTATCTCTTTGAAAGAATTTTTTTATTATTAACACAACAATTTAAATCCTCACTGTTAGGTCATGGTGGACACAGACCCAAACAGAATGAAGGCTAATAGAGGATCTTACAAAGGAGCTAAGCAGAGCATGTCAGCCCTCTTTTTAAGTTTTTCAATATCTTCGAAAGAATAAAATTAGTGTACACCTAACAATTTTGTCTGACAAACTTTCCCATATGACTTTGTTACTATTTTTTTTCCTCTTTACCTCTTAAGAGGGACTTCAAAATACATATAGACTATTTACAAAACAAGTAAAATGAAACATATAAATTATATACAAGATCAACATAATTTCTTAATATGATCATTATAACATTTCTAATACTTTCTTAACTTCTTCATTATCGCAGTATCGTATATTTTCTTTGTGTTTCAAATAACATTTCAATGATGAAATAAAATTATTTATTAACCTCTTTGGATTGGTTGGTACTTCCCCAAAGTTCCGCTTTACGTAATCTCTGTATATCTTTGTTACTATAGATCGTGGTGGTCTAGGACCCAGGACCAAGGTGTGCCATCATTGAATGCCACCAGGTCTAAATGGTGCAAGTTGGTCCTACCAGATGAATTTCCCAATCCCCTGATAGCCAAGGCCTACACGAATCCAGCCATCGATGAGTCTGAAGAAGGTTTCCAGTGGGGATTGCCTGATCTTGGTCTACTCAGAGAATATCCTTTCAAGTTTTCTCACAAAGAAAAGTAGAGAGTTACCCTTTAATTAGATTGTTTACAGATTTGACAGTCTATGCAAAAACGTTTTATAAAGCTTTTGTGAAAGGTTGGTTAAAGAGCAAAGAAACTTTTAGTGCAAAGTATCAGTGTTTTAGGTATCAAAGTCTGTTAGAACATTATTTGTATTAATATTATCTGTTTGACAAGTGCATGCAAAAACTGATGTGAAACTTGCTATTGCCTACAAATTTTACTAATCCTTGTTTTCATAGTTATTTTGCAGATTTGAATATTAAAGGTAAAGACCAGTTATGGTCATGCGATTGCATTGTGAAAGAAACGTTGTGGAATCGATCAGAAAAGGTTGATCATCTAGCATCTAGCATCTGCAAGGTTCTGGAATCATCAAAATGATAAGAAATTTGACCCATTCTTTGTAAAGTTACAAGCACTATACACAGAAAGATGTATATGGGACTACCCTATATCTCTCACAGACCATGAGAGAAACAAATTTACCAAATATATGAATTAGTAGGCGGTTTCCCGGCAAATTTTTTATCATCATGTATTAGTCAAAACATATTCTTTCACATGATTGGTAATGAGAGCTTCCATTTCATTTTTTGAAATTGGGGCGTTTCCAATACTGGTCTTTACCTTTTACTGTGCTTTTAGTTTTAAACACTTCTGTGACAACTAGCCCCCAAAACTATCACAGTGGACAACTACTCCAATCAGAAAACTATTTTTAGTCTGATTACCTCTAAAGTAGTTTTTAGGTAACGTTTAGGAGGTAGATTTTAGACTTATACTTAGAAAACAGATTAATGCAAAATGTCCAAACTCTGACAGCACTGTTATCTGTAGTAAATACAGTTTATATTCCTTGACTGTGACAATGTACGTTTGCTCGTGAGCGGTTCGGTTGGATGAAGACCAAGTTAGATGAGCAGCTTCTCCCGGTCTTGCAAAGGCTCAATGAGAAACAGGTAAGACATGTGTGTAAGAGAGAAATATCCAGTCACACTGGCTTTACCAACTACCTGTGTTGAAAGACCACCTGTTACAAAGATCACCTGTTACAAAGACCACCTGTAAAGCAGGGCTCCCACTTAGCCGAGTTGGAGCCTCGAGTTGTGGCGAGCTGGCTCGATCTGATATCACGAAATCGAATTCTTGATATCAAGAATTACCATTGCTTTACAACGTACAATTATTTCTTGATATCAAGAAATATGTTGTAAATATGAAACGGCTTGCCATATGATCGAACCAGCTCGCCACAACTCGAGGCTCCAACTCGGCTAAGTGGGAGCCCTGCTTTACAAAGACCACCTGTTACAAAGATCACCTGTTACAAAGACCACCTGTTACAAAGAACATTGTTTCTCATTGTAACAATGTTAAAGGAACCAATGCAAAAAGACCTGGCTTTGAACAGATGAAATCCTAACACACTGAAATGCCGGTATAAGGAATTCTTCTTGGAAATGCTTTCTGCCTGACATCTAGTTGTTTTCCTTGTCACGATGATAAACAAGTCATGGTTCATGTAAATGAGCCCACAGACAGCATATTGTGTATGTAGCCTACTAAGATGTGTTTCACATAGATGTTTAATCAATGTATTATTTTACTATTTCTAGGTCCAAAGCAAGATGACATCATTCTTTGGCGTTGCTCATCTTGGCAATAGGAAGAAGATTACCAGCAAACGAATGAGGAATGCGTTGATGCAGATGGAGAGATCATCGGATGAAGAGGAAGAAGAAAGCACGGAGGAGGAGGAAGAGAGCGAGGAGGAGGAAAGGCCAAGGAAAAAGAAAAGGGTTTCTACTGGTTCTGGGAAGAAGAGAGTGAGAAGGAAAAAGAAACTTGTGCAGAAACCTACCCAAGAAGGAGGAGAGGAAAAGAATAAATGTAAGCAGAAAGTGAAGAAGAGAGTAAAGAGGAAGAAGAAAGTGGTACTGAACCAGAACAATAATGACACACCACAAGAGCCCAAACAAGGAGCAGGACAGACAAAGAATGCTCCGAAGATTCAAATGAATGAAGAGGAGAGCGCTTTTGCAGAAAGGACTGAAGTCAAGAAAAGTAAGGCGCAGAATGGAAAACTGAAACCAAAACCCAACCCAAACAAGAGACAAAAGCGTAGAGTTCCTACGGTAGATTACGCTGCGATGATGGAGGACAATGATGAGGACATCCCTGATGAAGTTCTCTTGGATGTTGCGGAAGACATGGAGATGGCAGCATTGATGGAAGCAGGAAGCGGACATAACGTGACCCATGACCTCAGGAACATCAGCAGCTCCGGCTCACAACCAAAGACAGGATCTCACAACTCTAGCATAGATACAGACTTTGTAGAGGAGAGGAGGGGTAAAGGGAGGGGCGGGGTTGTACCTAGACTCGATGGTGGTGGTGGTGGTGGTGGTAGACAGAGAGGGAAAGGTAAGAGGGGAGGTACAAATAAGGGAAAAGCAATCATGAAGAAGAGACCAGGCCAGGGGGATGGGCCAAAATTGTCTTCCAGTGGAACTGACTCAGAGTGATTCCAATAGGATGGATATTCCTCTGAACATTTGATGAAATGCAGATTTCTTCTGTACAAAGGACCTATTTTTCAACAGCCTTTTATCAAACATACCTCAACATTCACCTTTCTGTGAAAACAATGTTCTTGCTGTCATTATACTCTTCTTTCTCTCTCTCTCTCTCTCTCTCTCTCTCTCTCTCTCTCTCTCTCTCTATCTATCTCTCTCTCTCTCCTCTCTCTCGACCTAGCATGCCTTTGTATTAGAATGAGTGTTAGATAGTTTATACAAAATACAGTACATCTATTGCACTCACTATTATCAATGTTATATTCAACATGAAATGATTTTTTTTTGTTCTCAAAATCATTGATACGCAGATAAAGAAAAGTAATGTAATAAACTGAGTTTTAAGTTAGAAAATCTAGTTATTTTGATATATCCTTACTCTACTTTATCTTCTCACTATATGTTTATTGTATGTATATAATTAAGATGAGAGAATGGAGAATGAATAATGGAGTGCAACTATATGTGAGAAAAATACTGCAGCTATATTTATATTCTATTATATGGAGAATTGTATGATATTTTAGCAATAAATTTGAATATGAAATATACTTCATTTATGTTTGGTGCATTATTTTTTGTATTCTTGCATTGATAAACTACTATGCACCCCTACTATATATTGTAGTAACTGAAGTATTTCGATAGATGAGGATTGTATCTCAGGAAGTTTTCATTCTTTTATTTTGACCCATTTCAGAAAATATGTCAACAGCACTACCAAATGTCAAGTTACTCCTTTATAAATGGCCTGTCAGAAAACGTCTTTCAGAAAAATTGCCTTAGCTTGAACGTGAGGTAGAGTGGAAGAGAGAGATTGAGAGAGAAAGGGGGTAAAAATGGGGAATAGTGTGTAGGATTTAGAAGAAGAGCGTGAGAGGGGAAAGAGAAGAGACAAGGAGAGAGGAAGTGGAAGATGGAAAGACAGAGAGGAGACAAGGAAGACAAACGAGGGTGAAGGAGAGAAAGGGTGTGAGAGGGGAGAAAAGGTGGGAGGGTAACAGAATATTCAGAGGAGAGGTTATGTGTATGCAGTTTAATTTGAAATACGAATCTCTCACTCACTCTCTCCCACCCCGTCCTTTCTTCCACCCTCTCTTTCTCTTTCTCTCTCAAAACACTTGATCTAAGTTCCTCATTCCCCTCTCTCGATAATTAAATCCTTCTATTCTCTCACCCATAAGCATTCTCGAATGTTCTCTTTCTTTAGCAACATATAAACTGAAATTGGAACATGGGATTAATGTGGCTTTCTAATCCTTCTTTGAGTACACTGTACATTATGTTGACACCCCGGTGGGCAGATATTCCCTACCTGGAGAGTCAGTCCTTTCATGCCTGTTAATGGATCTATTTAAGACCTCTAAACTCTCGACCCACTGCCGTTTGAATATGTTAATCGATTCTCCAACAATAGGGTTTTATCCTGGACTCGATTGTGCTGATCCTGATTCTCAATGAATGCGGGGTGGAAATCGTACAATGGCGCGTCGAGAGTTGTCAAGGAGACGCACTGGTGGATTCTAATCACAAAGTTTCAGATCAGACAGAAAGATTGATAGAGCTTGGTCAAAAATTGTATGAAATGTGTCTAGCCATTGAGGGGGCGCTGATGTCAGGAGGGGGGGGGGGGGGGAGGGGGGAGGTAAACTCTGTGAATGAAATGCAAAATAATAAGACTCGAGAGAGGGAAAGGGACATGTTCCGGGTATAATATCGTTTTCATTTCATATTGCTTTACTCTACTATACCCCGCCTCTTCTCTATCTCCCTCTCTTCCCTTAAATCTCCCCTCCCTCTATTTTTCTCTCAGTTTTTTTGCCTCTCTCTCTTAATTTTTCTTCAATGCGATGGGGGAGGAACTTATACTCCGTATACCCGCCCACTGCGAATTTCCTTCCTTTAAAAAAAGTGTTATTCTTTCGAGAACAAGGCAAGAGTCAATAAGCCAATGATGCATATAGTTTTAATGGGTGGATTCTAAACCTAATCACGGTCCGGCCTAGTCATGTTTCGGGTATCATATCGTTTTCCTTTCATATTGCTTTATACCCCGCCTCTTCTCTCTCTCTCTCTCTCTCTCTCTCTCTCTCTCTCTCTCTCTCTCTCTCTCTCTCTCTCTCTCTCTCTTCCCTTAAATCTCCTCCTTTCTCTATTTTCTCTCAGTTTCTTTTCCTCTCTCTCTCTCTTAATTTTCTTCAATTCGATGGGAGAGGAACATATACTCCTTACCATCCTACTGCAAATTGTCTTCCTTTAAAAAAAAGTGTTATTCTTTCGAGAACAAGGCAAGAGTCAATAAGCCAATGATGCATATTATTTTAATGGGTGTAACCTAATCACGGTCCTAGTCTTCTTTGAAGTTGGTTACATTATCGACCCGGAAGCAATGAAGAAAACTTTGGAAACACAATGAATATACATGTACCAGTAAAGGGAATGATCTGTAAAGAAAGAGGATTGACTAACAAGCCGTGTGAAAATATAATGTTACACTATATCTTATCGTTACTCAATAATACGAGTGTAAGCACAAGAAATCAAACTCGAATTTGCTTTAATTTGGTAGTCAACTTTATTTAACTGTATTGATCGTAAACTAAATGAATTCAATTTGTTCTGAAATGAAGGACTAAGATGAATGCTATCTTCAAAGTAATTGTTATACTGTCTGTACGATCGTACATACAGTTATAAATACATTGTTGCCCTTAAAGTTTGAGTAATTTTTCTTATCTTTTTTTTTTTCATGGAATGATTGAGACAATATGATTTATTTTTGGTAGACAAACTTTATATCTTATCAGAACTTTACAGATCAATGTCTGTGAATCTCGAGATTGATCAATAAAGTTCTAAGAACATGAAAAGTTTATTTATCAAGAATAAATCATATTGTCACAACCATTTCATGAAAGAAGGTATGCCTAATTATTCCAACTAAATGGGTAACAGTGTATATCTCAATGCAAAAAATTATCTTGAGCTTGTAAAAAAATAGCCAAGTAATAAAGCGCCTAAACTATATACCTTAAACATTTACATGAATCCGAAAGCCAAGTTGCCATGGGAATCATATATTTTATTATTTTACTATTATTACTTTATTGTCTCCAAAGCTTATTGGGCATAATAACTTTAGATGTAACGGTTGTTGTAATATATATATATATATATATGTATCCACCTAAAAATCGGACTCTACATTATTTAAAACTCACTTTTTGGTGTTTACGATCATGGGCTTTCCGTTTCTAAGGTATGATGTAATTTGTAAAAGGATTCTAAACTACCTACACTGTATATTCATAGGTCGATAAGTTCGATAGATGACACAATAACAACCAGACACGGGATAATCGGCTGACCGCACTCCAACTATAGCTTTGAAGGATGTAGTGGCTGTAGCAGAACAAATAATAAAAGTACTAGACATTTCAGTACAAACAGAAACTTATTTGTCCGTGTGTGCTCTATCATCAAAACAATTTCTCATACACAAATTTGTTTGCAAATGATTGACGTCTCTAATTATTGAAGTTTCTTTTGTGAAGATGTTGAAGTCTATACAGGATACTGTGTGAATGAAACGTGAATTCTCTTTCTCAAGAGAAGGAATGACACAAGGTCAATATTGTGGCTTGGACATTATTGAAAAGTTAATTGCTTGCGGCCAAGCTATACGTATAGTGGACATTACACATTGATTTCTTTGCTTCTGCATGATGATGTTCATCGTTTCGTCTTCTTCATGTTCTGGGAGCGATAATTCACAGATTATTCATCACTACTGATGTGACAGTTTGGGTTATTTCGTGGATATTTATCAAGTATTCTGAGGTAAGTAACTATGTCAGCAACTTCTGTAAATTGATTTAAGAACATACTAGACAAATACTGGTCTAAAAACCATGATCTTGTCTATTAGCCTGTATTATAGCTGTACAAGCTGTTAATCATTTAAGTATTTAATTTGAAATGATAATGTATAACCGCTTAAGAAGACATTACCGACCAAAGAACAGGCATAGTCCTATACCATCGCTGGAATAAAGTAAAGTAAGTATTGATGTCTAAGCAAACATTATGTGCAAATATTGTCAAACTAGCCATTCATTTCCACACTGAGCGGATAACGCTTGAATGTAACCACTTTCTAATCTTTCTAAACCTTCCCAAGTTTTAACTTCAATTCTGGACGCTTTAAAATAGGCTTGCGTTTAAATTTTGGAGGAGATGGTTGTTGTTGTTGCTGTTGGTAATAGTTCATTCAGTATTGCATATATACGCCATATCTTCATGGTACATGTGTATTTGTATTTTTATAAAACAATTCTTAATGTGACATAAAATCGTTGTTTATGTGTCAAAGATATAAACTGTATACTTATAGTATTTAAGATCCGCATTCCACGGATTGCTGAATCCGCCTCATATCGAAAACAGGTGTATAATGCCATATAATGTTTATGTATTAAAACCACATGATAAAAGACGTTTATGGCGAAAATTCGTGACCTAATAAAACTGTTGGTTTTGAAACATGAATTTCTTTTCTTCAATTTTTTGCATCATATTAAATTATGCCGTCACATGGACTTATTATCGGATATAATGAATGAATGTTTTAAAACAATATATATTTTAATAAATATTTAACGAGTCATTCGCTTTAGATCTTCACATTTGAGAAAGTAGAAGTTGATTTGACTAGAAATAGATTTTCGATACCTGATCCTCGATCGAAACGGCTGTCGAAAACAACCGCCCTGAGCTCCACGATACGCCACTGAATTAATGCCTAAATATTTTTATACAAAACTTGTTCTCTTCGCTATAATAATTAAATGCCACCGTCGGGTGTATTCTCGTACTCATTGTATGTGCTGTGCAGGTGTATAGATTGACTCAAAAAGGCCTACACAGAACTATATTACTTTGTTACCTATCACTATACTTGTTTATGAAGTAATCAAGATAGAATGTATTGTGCGGAATATAGATTCAAAGTTTCCTGACATCTAGTAATCAAGAATCATAATGCATTTTCCTAATTTATATTCACTCTATTATTGGGATAAATCCCCCCCCCCCCCACGACATGTTCCCGAAATCTCCGGTACAGAGGTACGACTTTTCACGCAACAAAGTGTGGCTCGTAATACACACAAAAATCGGCCCGTATTGACTTTACACACCGGACTTGGGGGTGCTTTCAAAAGGAGGGAAACATGCATAAATGCCGGGGATAAATCCCTGTCAAAAACAATGGGAGAGGAGACAAAATATATTATTTTATAAATCTGATTGCACTGTTTGCACAATCTAAAGGCTCTTGTTTCGTTGATGTTCAAGTCTTCATATCTTAAGATTCCGCTTTGTGATTCTTAAAATGCTAGATGTATCCGTTACAAAGTCCACAGGCAAAACAAATACGATGACAGATGATGAAGTCTGTGGATATTTTTATACAAAGTAAAGACTACTATTTTCCCCAGCCTACATCTGAAAAAATGGGGAAACTGTAAAGTTTTAAGGAGAGCGAGGTAATTGTAGAACGAAGTCAAAACTTAATTCGTTTCGATATTGTAAAGAAACCTGTCTCAGAATGCATTCCCTACCCACACAAATAGAAGGGAGGAGGAGGAGGGAAGGAGAGGGCGAGGGGGGGGGGGGGGGGGGGGGGGGTATGTCCAAGGAGTTAGAGAGGAGGACAGCAAGGGAGAGGATTTATGGGTAGATTGTGTTTTAATAAAAGAAAAATTGATAATTTAAATTCTGTATAATAATATGTTGAAAAATCTGAGACTCATTTTTTTAATTATTAAGTTGGGATGAAATAACTCTAGTGAGCACTAACACACACACACACACACACAAATCATTTTGCTCCCCCGAAATTTGAAAATTGCGCCGACCAATATTTCGGTCATGGAGGGGGGGGGGGGGGTAGGAAGCACTACAAAATAAATTGCCCCCGACATTTAAAAAATAAAATAAAAAATGGTTTACTGTTTTTTTTTTGGGGGGGGGGGGGAGGGGGTCAGCCCAAGTAGGGGGGGGGGTAAACCCCCTAACCCCCTCCCCTAGATCCGCCCATGCCCTGCTCAATCCAGAGAGTCATTACGTATTCTTTTAGATGAAGAATTGAAATGGTCTAAACAAATCGAAAACGTAAGTAAACTTACCCAGAAAAACATTAGCATGATAAAGAGAGCTTTTTCCCTAAAAAATTCTTCAAGTTACTTTATAACAGTCTATAGTGTTGCCATGATTAGATTACTGCTCTGTTGTATGCTCGAACAGATTTCATTCTCATACAACTAAGCTGCAACAAATTCAAAAGAGGGCCGCAAGAATAATATTCACCAAGACATATGACACACCGTCGGCTGATTTGTTCACAAGGATGACACTAGCTACCGGTAGACAAACGGTTTGAGTTAAGTCGCGTTATGGTGATATATAAGTGCGTTCATAACTTAGCACCTTAATACCTTCATAAGGCTTAATCAATCCTAATGATGTGCATGAGCGTCATACAAGGCAAATGGACAGTGGATGTTTACGTGTGCCTAGATTTCACACTGATTGTTATAAGTGTAGCCCAATATGTTTCTTCCATGTGCATGTTCTGTAATATTAACATGACTTATTCACATAATTGCGACTTAATCAATATTTTCCTATTGACATTACTGTTGAACTAGGTTAATGATAATGTTTATTTTGCAGACGAGTATTATTTTTTAACTGTTCTGTATAAACGTTATGCTTTTTGATGTAAATATGTTCATGTTTATTCAGGGCCCCATGGAAATGGAAGATCACTACTTATTGGTGAATGGGCTTCCCTGTCAAAAGATTAGAAATAAATAAATAAATAAAAATTCGGAACACTGGCGTAGAGTGGATCTAGACTAGACCATGGTTTTGATTTTGATTTGTGATTTTTTTTTTTTTTTGATTTTCTGTTGTTGATTTTTTGTTGATTTTTTTAATTTATTATTATTATTATTATTATTTGTTTTTATATATATATATTTTTTTTTTTTTTAATTTATTTATTTTTATTTATTTATTTATTTATTTTTATTTATTTATTTATTTATTTATTTATTTTTTTTGGGGGGGGAGGGGAGCACTTTCAGGGGGAAGGGATAAGGCAAATGTTGTTACTAGGTGGCCATATTAATGTGAATTGACAAGGTCATCATTATTGTGGGGAAAGGGGAACTATCATCTTTTCACGTTCCATTTAACACCTCTCCCTTTCTTTCAATATCTGTTTGATTTCTATTTCTCTTCTTGTTTCTTTCGCCAATTGACTGTGTATAAAGGGCACGTGCCTCCGTGCTCCCATGCCTCTTCGAACTGACTTTACCAGTGATTCTGATATAAGTCCTAGATCAGTCAACCAATTACCCCTTCGTTCCATACATGTAGGTTACTGCTCTGACTTAAAGGTAAATAGGTAATACAAAGTTTTGGGAACTTTTTAAAATTGGGTGGATAGTGATTCTTTACAATTTTGATATATTTGGATGCCTCCTTGGATGTATTATAAGCACTAGAAAATTTTGCCCCTAAAACACTTCTGCTTTCGAGGAAAATTGAATATAAAAATTTACCGGTGCTCCAGATAAATTTTGATAAATTTGAAATAGCGCCTACGGCCGTACAATGGTAGCTGCGACCATGAAAATTTCAGAATATGTAGTTGTGATATATAATTTCCAAACGGGAACAGCCAATCGGTCAAGAAACATTGCTTTATAGCTTAATTCATATCTTGACCTTGAGAGGGAGCTATACAGCATAAAGAGTTTATTATTTACAATTTCATAACTTTACACTCGATTTCAACCACGACAACGATCACTGAATATTGTAGGATCGCATATGCTTCCAATATGTTCATTTGAACCAAAATCATGACCCCATACCAAAACTTTGCATTACCTTTAAGGGGACGTAAAACGCCCTCGTGATCAATTTTAAAAATAACCACTATTCATTCAAAAACGTGTATACCCCACCTCCCGGTGAACATTTTTGTGGTTTTCGTCATTTTTCTTCTTCTTCTCCCTTTCCTCCTTTTTATTTACCTTCTTCTTCTTCTTCTTCTTCTTCTTCTTCTTCTTCTTCTTTTTCTTTCTTCTTCTTCTTTTTCTTCTTCTTTTTCTTCTTCTTCTTCTTTTTCTTCTTCTTCTCCTCTTCCTCCTTCTTCTTCTCTTTATTCTTTTACTTACTGTTTTCTTCTTCTTTTTTTATTTTGTTTTTAGCCTTGTTGTTGTTGTTTCTAGTTTTTGCTGAGCTATTGCTATTGGACATCGATCCCTCGTTTTTTATAGTTCCCCTGAGTAAACTGTATACTACGCACGTATGTACATCTTCAATTTGAATACAATCAAATAAGTAGCTCTTCATCGCTTGGATCTAACTTCTCATTGTTCTTCATTTTCTTTCAATGATGCAATCTAAAAGAAGATATCCCTTTCATTCTTACACCCTTTCCTGTCTAATCCGAACGTTAAACGAAAATATCGACGATTAGACAGCTACGCCACTTGAGGTGTCAGAACTTCAATAAATTTTATTCACCTACAAGAAACAAAACGTTTTTATATCTATTGATCTCTTCGACGTATAAAGACGTCATTGCGTTGTACATGTAGTAGCTTTATGACAGTAAATTGATCTTGTAAGGGAAGATGTACCTCGCAATGAAATACATTTTACAGCTCTTTGGTGTTACAGCTCAAAATTGTATAAAGAGAACTCTTTTTTATTTGCTGGACATATAACAAAAGAGGTAAAGTTGATATATGTAGAAATGGTGACCGTACCGATATTTGTAATATCTTGTATGTATTCATACAATGTACTACAATCCACAAGTACTTTTTTCATGGCACGCAAGTTAGCAAGTATATGTTTACAAGTAACATAGTTCTATAGCCATATGTCTTATTGAGGCACATCGACCGCATTACTTCCGTTAACATGTTTTAATGTAAGCCGGTCGGTGATTACACATTTTACATCACGTCATGAAATCGATATAAGATATAAAAGACAAGATAGGAAAATAAAAGTACAGCGTGCTATAAACAATGTTTTTGCCCCCGAAGCATAACGGGGGTGGGGGGGGGAGGGTCTGACGGTCGCCATGGGGACCCGATATGGCGCAGTCGACTCAGTGGGGGTAGTCCCTTTTTTTGGATGTTTCCTGCGGGCGTCGACTGGAGGAGCCTCTTCTCCCCATCTATATCTTTTTCTCTCTTTCAAGACACACACACGAATACACCACTTGTTTGGCTCTCCTTTTTTCATTTTTCGATGTCTCTTTGTCAACCTGTCTCTCTGTCTGCCTCTCTCTCTCTCTTTCTTTCTCTCACTCTCTCTCTCTCTCTCTCTCTCTCTCTCTACATCTCTCTCTCTACCTCCCCCTCTTCCTCGATCCATCCCTCCATCCACCCCTTTCTCTCATGTCTCTCGTGTTCACTGCAGTACGACTATGCGCTCTTCCTTTCAAAACGATGATTTGAAAAATAATATTATGGACCTAAATCCACCAATATTTAAGGTACTTACCTCATCCACATACCTCATCCCATAGAAAATATCCCTACCAGCTATATACCCCTCGGTGGAACTTTGTGTAATTTGGTATGACGTAAGCATATATGGCTTCATTCATTACTATAACTCGCACATGCGCACAATGAAGGCAAATATCGATGATTAGCAACAGCTTATAATCATAATGGGCCTATAACACCCTCTTCTATAGAAGCATTCGATCATAGTTACTTTGACTCGACTCATTGATGGATTTCTTATTGGAATATACGAGTACATGTGACTTTTATCAACGTTCTTTCGCGAGTGTTGCTGATTTGGTATTAGTATTTCTTAAGAGAGTGTGAAGGATTCGATTTGAAGCAATGGGTGAGTTGTGACTGATCTAGTCCATTTAATAGGTCGATTTTAAACGTTGAAACATCATCATCGTCATCATCAGCATCATCATCATCATCACAACTATCATCACTATCATCACAACCATCATCACCATCAAAATAATAATCATCACCACCATCATCATTATCAGCACCATCAACAAAATGGCTCGTCATGGTATTATGTTTACATAGATTTTAGTTTCATTTTTAATGATGAAGTCCTATCTAATCACAAATGATGATGAAACGGAAAATAATATCATTTTTCATAAAAACTAAATTATTATCTGATTACGAGATTAAAGGGATGAAACACTGATAATCATAGTTGGAAGAAGAAAAAAACAGGACCCTGATAAATTTTCAAATATTTGAATAGCCTCATCAGATATTGTTTCTTTGTTTTCGGCATATCACTTTCATGTTTTCATCTGAGCAATGTAAACAAATCTTAAGATATTTGGTTCTTTGACTGGCATTTACGAATATTATCGATAACTCTGTGCAATTTACGAAAAATGCTATTTCATTTCGTAGCCTTCGTTTGCTGATAAGTTTATTCATCATAACTATGTGTATCTTGTTCGAAGTGCAAATAATTGAGCATTATAAAGACCAAAGATCACTTATCATACATTATATTTATCAACCTGATCAAATAATGACTATTATCTTCAATTAGGGATCCGGTTGCTATCATTTTAACAGAACAATGTCACTGTGTAGGGATACAAGGGAGCTGGGGCTACTGCCCACTACTGAGGATTTTGAAATGTCCAATATTCGGGCAAACGTATTATAGAGCCATGTATTTCTTTGATGTTTTGCTATCTTATCTCATCAGGGTACAAATACAAAATAGAAAAAATTTGCTAGATCGCTCTCAGAATTTCTTAAATGGAAAGTTAAAATTGGGATAAGAACCAGTCTGGGAACACTGCGCCCTTTCGCCCACGGTAAAATATGAGGGAAAACAAATATTGAGCGTTCCTCGACAACGTACATAATCACAAGTGCATTTCGGCTACATAATTAGCTATAGAGATGAAAGTCTGAATCTTATAGACCTATCAAAATGTTAAATATACGTGTTAGCCTACATGAATATTTGTCACTGGTAGAGTTTGATTCCGGGCATCATTATATTCATAGCTTCCCTTTTAACTTGTGATTGAAGCGTTATGATGATATATGACGATAAATGTATCATGTGATCACATAAAAACGCGTGCCTTTTCAAACTGTCAAATCAAAATTTATAATCAGCTACAAAGACTGTTTAAACTCTAAACTGTATAGTTTCACTATTAAAAACGGATGTCTCCTGTCCGAAAAATTGCATATCTACCTTTTGTTTTTACACGCGTACTAAAATATATATGAAAAATGTGTAAGTTGTTTACTCTCATTATTCATATCAATATGAGTGTGTTACTTATCACTCCATTGATGTTCGTTGTCATGCATAACTTAAAAAGACTTAGTATATCTATCTATCGAAGTATCTTCTCCCGGTTCGGAGGTTGATTGCAACATCTCTCCATTTCATTGAATGATAATTGGCATGGCAAAGCCGATCTGCGCTAACTACAATGCAAAGTAAATGAATTCGAATGAAAAAATTCGCGAATTTCGCCGGGACGCATTATGTCTTATATTCATTCTGATTCTAATGTTTTCTTACTTTTTTCAAGATATTTTAATTTTTTTTCGGTCATAGTTTTCTATCTATCTATTTAAGTATCTTCTCCCGGTTCGGATGTTGATTGCAACATCTCTCCATTTCACTCTATCTTCTTCCATTCTGGTGCACTCTTGCAGTTTTAGTCCACTCCAGTTCTTGACATTCTCTTCCCAGTTGATTCTCGGTCTCCCTCTAGGTCTACTTCCTTCCACTCTTCCTTCCCATACATCCTTTAAGAGGTTTTGGTGCCTTTTAACATGACTAAAGTATTTGATTTTTCTCTCCTTAACTAATCCTGCTAGTGCACTTTGTTTACGCCCTGCCATATATGCAATATCTCTTTATTTGTTTTCATTCGTTTCCAGGATATTTTCATCATTCTTCTGTAGGTCAACATTTCAAAAGATGTTATTCTATTTTCCATGGCTAGCTTGTATATATAGACATGCATAATAATTATGAGTGGCTCGTTGCTTAAACACAGCGCCGATCACCTACATTATCATCTCAATTAGCGCTTCTCAAGTACGTACATTATTATCAAAAAACAAGTCTTGAGCAAAATCTTATAAACCACGTAGCAATTTATTCAGACAATAGAAATCAATCAAAAGGCACTGGACAATTTCTTTGTTCCCGTTAGGATTCGAGTATCTTTCGTAGATCGATAAAGGGATGAATAGTTTTTTATCCAGCACTTAGTAGCGAGGTTGTGATGATTCTATACGAAGCGCGTACGTTATAGAGGTGTGTATGTTTATAGAGGTGTCGAGATGGTTCAGTTTGGACTCGCTCTCGAGAATATTGATTTCACGAGCATGGTTTCATATAATTCAGATTGTAATCAACAACCTAATGTTTGTGACTTCGGGTGGACGTAATGAAAGTTGAGACGACATTTACGCCTGATGTCCAATATGCTTAACCATATAATGTTAATTGACAAAGTGAAACACTTATTGTTTTGTTTTATATACAACACATGCTCCCAGTGATAATGCTCCGCGCGGTCATACCCTAATTCCTATTTCATCTTCAAATCGTGACTATATACTATCGTAATTCAAACCTCAACTATACACACCTAATCTATAACTCACTTGCACTTCTAGCCCTAACCATTTATCTTTGACGCAACTTGACGTAAATTTTACTGCAGCAAATGTCTGCCAATTAACAATAAAGTTATCTCGTACACGACACCATTTGGGGGTAACACAAAATAACTCAGCTTAGTTATGCCTGTTTCTCGGAGAGTAATGGTGTAATATTGACTTTATTGTAGTTGTAATTTTTGAGGTAAATGTGGGGTAGTTGTCATACTTTTCTAGAGTACTGTTATCCCGGGTGATGATCGACAGTCGTGATATAGTCTTAGGATAGAGGTGGCTACTGGTTGCAGTGGCCGATCCAGGGAGGGGGGGGGGCGAATTTTCAAATTTTCGGGAGCAAACGCCCCCTTCCCCCCCCCCCCCCCCCCCCCCCCCCCCCCCCCCCCACTGAGTGAAATATCGGCCGGCACGATTTTCAAATTTCAGCACACTAAATTTCAAATTTATTTCAAATTTGGTCCCCCTAAGAAATCCTGGATCCGCGCCAGACTGGTTGTTCTGATTCGGGAAACATCTTGGATGGATGACTGCTGGAACTGGAATACTTTTACTCCTCAAAAAGTTAAATATATATATTTAACATATCAATTTTTCAGAAGACCAATTCGACGAAAAGATGACAAACGCGGACTACCAGGCGCTTCTCTTTTCTCGAGATCGTCTTTCTCTGCTGCAGAAAGGACTGACAGCTGTGATGAACGCTATGCAAGGTGTACTGGCTGTACAGGATGATCTAGCATCATCAGGAATGATGTCTATTAAAGCAGCTGAACATGCTAAGCAACTTGAACAGATCGTGAGTAGATGACGGAAAACGGGACGAAGGGAAATGCGGGATAATGAGCTCTTCAGTACATCCACATTGTAAAATATGCACATTTACATTAAAAAAGAAAATTACAAGAAACAATGGTAATTCATTGACATACATTAAAATAATGAGGTAATAATGCTGAAATGGACAACGAAAAAGGATTAAATGGGAGGAATATGGAAACAGGTATATAGATGAACAAAATATGAGGTTGGATCAATGTTGCGCGAACAATAACAATGAAAGGATAATCACAATAATGATAATATTTAGAAATGAAAAGATGAGAAAAGGAAGAAATGAGAAAAAGGAAGAAACGAAATGAAAAAATGAAGTCGCATTTAAGAGTAAGATCAGGAATGCATACTTTGTAAAGATAATATTTAACTACAACGGTCTCTATTTCTTTCGACTTAAAAAGATAAAAGTTGATCGAAATGGGATGAATGTGCGTCTCATTTGGCAGGTGAGTCGATACTTTAATCGAAATTTCTTTTAAATTAATTTCATGAAACCTTTCTCACAAACAGGATAAAGATTGTTGGGAAAGGATAAGAGTTGAACTCCTGGATGTTTACAAGTCCTTCCAGAAGAGAGCATCTCATCCTCCAGGGTTTGAGATCAATGGTAATGACCTAGCTGCGGACCGTAGCAAACAGTCTGCTGCCGAGTGTCTGCTCGGGCTTACAGAGCGGGTCGACGAGGTGAAGAAGGGACTCGATACCAGGTTAAAGGTGAATATCAATAAGGGAGGATCCAGGATTTATGTGAGGGGGGGGGGGGGGATTATGAAAAAATCTCTGAAAAGTAAGGGGAAATGTCACATTTTCGAGTGTCTTAGCTTCTGGCCGTTCTAGGTCTAGAAGTTAAAAGAACACAATGGAGAGAGTCACGCTTTTTCTTTTTCTTTAAAAAAAGATATATCTCGGATTGGGTTTTAAAAGAGGGGCATGGGCAAGCTGTTCCCCTCCCCTAATATACATATATTCATATATTGATATACATTACCCTGGCAAATTTATGTTTAGTCTAGGAGAAATATCTTTTTTTCTTGATAAAAACGTTATTACAAAATATATGATGATTTCATTCTATATTTCTTTTCAGGTGACGGCCAAACGAGAAGAAAATATGATAAAGGAAGTGAAGTTATTACAAGGTAAGAAAACAGAAACTAAGATCCAGTCTCTCTCTCTCTCTCTCTCTCTCTCTCTCCCTCCCTCCCTCCCTCCCCTCTCTCTTTCTCTCTTTCTCTTCTTTCCCTTCTCTTTCTTTCCTCCCCATCACCCTTCTCCGTCCTTCCCAACGTCTCTCCTTTAAAAATGATAATAATACATGTAGCACAATTAAGAAAATAAAAACGTTAACAAAAATCAGTGCAAGTCCAGTGACTGCATGAAAGGTTATACAAATATTTGTGAAACTTTCTACAGTAAATGATCGTTATATGGCAATCTATTTTCTTTTCAGAACAACTTTATGACGAAAGACAGCAAAGCGTAGAGCTGAAGTGGAAAGCTCAAGAAGCCACAGAAAATGCAGGGAAATACACAGTACCCGTCTTACAAAAACAGCTCAAAGAAAAACAAGAAGAAATTTCACAGTAAGAAAAAATAACTTAGATCAATATTTGTTTCAATTGGATGAAAAAAAGCTTTGCCGCGATGTATTAAATTTGGTATGAATCTCTACCAGGGGCGGGGGGAAGGGTGAAATGCGAGGGACGAGGGAGCATAGTGAACGAGAGGGGCGAAGGTACATGATAACGGTTCCAAGTGACTACCCCCTCATATGTTTTTGAAGTTTTGTTGTATTAAAAAATGACACTCCTTAGCAAAACTAAAGTATAAATACAAGCAACATACATTTTGCATACTTTACTTTTTTCTTTGCCGATAATTAGTGTGCAATCTGAAGGATCGTAAATGTTTAGTAAATACATTTTAGTTAGTAGGGAGCTTCGGAATGGATAGGATTTCTATTTCTCACTCTAGGCCTCTGTCATGTACATGTATATTAATATCGCTTTGGGGGTTGATATGGCAAATATATAGACTATGTGGTAGTGAACTATCAAAACCAACCAATATTACGGAATACCTGTAACATGCAAAATGACACTTTTGCCCCCCCCCCCAAACAAAAAAACCGACTGGTTTTTACATTTCTATAACTCTTAATCTTGTAAACATACAGTGTGAGCTGTGCTTACGTGATACCAACAGAATATAGATTTTCTATAATATTTACTATATATATTTTAAAGGATATTATGCGAGCGAAAAGATTTTTGCATTTTTATTAGTCTAAATGCTGCACTCTTGGGCCCTCCAGAGCCTAAAAGTGTGTTGCAGTCTTTATTCAGTATTTGCTATATATGTTTTGTTGCACTTTTTCAAATTTTCCGGGGTGATGATCCCCCCTAAAAAATTAAGGGGAGGGGACGTGTCCCCCTCCCCCATCTCCTGGGATCGCCGCCCCTGATCTCTACTAAAATAATGTTACTGCTGTAGAGTAGAATGATATATTCGTCTATAAAGAAACATATTTGAAAGTGTTCATTGCACTGTGAAAATAAACTCAGAATTGCATATTATTTAGCATGTACTTGGTATGGTATAAAAATTCAAATGTTAATAACGGCAAAGGAGCATGAATGATGTGAATAAAAAGACATTTAAAAATTCACTGATTTCCCTCAAAATGTCACTTAATAATGTATCTATATTCCAATATTAGATAGAGGAGCGCGGTTAGGGGCATAGGTTCCGGTTCAATTTTTATATTTTTATTTTTGTTTAAAAACTTGATAGGTGTATTGTATGCTTTTCAACAAAGTAAACAAATGGACACCCCCCCCCCCGACTGGATTTACCAAAGACTACCTCCATGTTTCTAGTGAGACATTATTGCATAATGATTCTGTTCTTGATTCGTATTTCTAAAGATTAAAACGGAACGGCACTGTTCAACTTTGGGATAAGGAGAAGACAAAGCTTATGGAAAGCTCCAAGCAGCGTGAAGAGAAACTTACCAAAGAATTAGCAGATACACAGAAGAGATTTGAAGACATGAAGCAGAAATTGACCGAAAAATTACGAGTAAGTATATCCAACCTTCGTAGCTCCCAGTTTGAATCATATTTTGTTTTAAATCTGTATAGATCAGTAGCGTGATCTTGAAAAGTTGGGTGTTAAAAAAAAGCGCACTTGCCTATCTGACGGAGTACTCTGATCCGGTTTCTTAAATTGAAATGCGAGCATCTTTTTTGTTGATGACAAGGATTGTAAGCCCGGTTGTTATCATTAATATTGTATAATTTGCAATGTGACCAGGGGAAACAAAATCTCAAACATTTACATTTAGTTTATGATCAAAATCAATGCATCCGTAGTATGCCTCTGTTCAGTATATGGCTTATAAAGAAAGTAAGAAATTAGCAATAGAAATGGACCCCAGTGTTTGTTTCATTGATTATTATTTATTTATCCTTATATACATCCTGCTCCGTTCTCATATAATAGAATATATCTGCTGGTTTGTTCTTATATACATCCTGCTCCGTTCTCACATAATAGAATATATCTGCTGGTTTGTTCTTTATACATCCTGCTCCGTTCTCACATAATAGAATATATCTGCTGGTTTGTCCTTATATACATCCTGCTCCGTTCTCACATAATATAATTATCTGCTGGTTTGTCCTTTATACATCCTGCTCCGTTCTCACATAATAGAATATATCTGCTGGTTTGTCCTTATATACAACCCGCCCCGTTCTCACATAATAGAATATATCGGCTGGTTTGTTCTTTTAGGAATCCGAAGAGAAGCTGAAAATACAGAAGATGAAAGACGTCCTCGATAAGAAAACCATCAACAAAAACGGTATGTATTTATCAAACTTCAAGAAGATTAAAACATATCACCTTGATCGCAGTTTTACATCATACATTATGATCATGATTGTGAAACCTTCTTTAGACGTTTCAATTGCAAACTTTTGGTTGTTGTGTCATCCAATCTACACACGTTGTATGCTTGGTTCATTCACTCATTCATTCATTCACTCATTCATTCATTCATTCATTCATTCATTCATTCATTCACGATGTTCCCCTAACTCATTTGCATTCATCCTCACATGAAGTATCATTCACCTTATTGGAAATCTTACCAATAAAATGTGTCATGTTTGTAAACGGCAATCTTGAGTTCTAATAATCTCGGGGAATAGATCTCACATAATCATTTGAAATTTGGTCTGTATGTTCGAAACTATATGCTCTGCAAAACAGTTTTGGTAGGAAATGGACAGTGGTATTACCTAATTAAAGCGTATTACCTAAATAAAGCGAAGGAAAGCAAGCTATAGCCCCGACTCACGTTGTGCTTTCAGTGAATGTGATTTGCTGCAAGTTTATGTCGATTTTCAAGTTTGCTAATTAAAACAAACCATCTCATGCATCGTAAATATAATTAGAATTCAATCAAACCATTCAACAATTTCCTTAACCAATGCTATGAGAAGTATGTTGATGCAAGAGCACCTTTTGGTGTAATATAAAGTAAGGATATCAATTTCTTTTTATATTTTTTTATGATGAATATGCCTACTTTTTTTGATTGAATTTCCCTAAGAAAGACGAATTCTAATTGGCTAGTTAGCAAAATCTATTTGATTGCTTTACTGACTGCTTAAAGTTTGATAACATGTCTTATGAATTTTGATTGTTTTTAATGTTAAATAGGTAGGATTAAATACGTATTGTGTTCAGTTTTCAATTATATTTTGGTTTAATGACATTCTAACCAATCGTCAGTTTTCAATGACATTTTTGCCATCCGTTCGATTAATCAATCATCAAACTTTAATTTCAATTCCAACCCAACTAGTTTCCAAATCAATGGCATCAATTAAATCATCGGCATCCGACAAGATTCGTCATGAAGGCAGGTTACACCTTAGGTGTTGGTGTCTGGTGTTTAGATTGGTGTCTAGTATTAGACAAGAGTGCAATCCCATTCGGTGCTTTCATCATAGAGGCACCGCTGCAAAATGTTAGTAATTTTGCAGTGGTGTATCTGTGTTTAAAATGATGTCACATGATAATGGGGATACACTTTTTTCACGATTCTAGTCTAATTACCCGTCTAGATTTGAAATCTAGCACTGAACACCAAACAACCTTGTCGGGTGATTCGATTGTTACACCCTTTTCTTGGTGTTATCTATCCGTTCTTGTATGAACTATATCTACATCTATATTTTCAGACCTTATCACGGAGGCCTCTACTATAGAATGTTTTCTTTTCAGATTTCTGTTAGTATTTTAGTGGTGATCTAAGCTATCTTTAGCTCGTGTTGTTGTCCAATTGATATTTGAACTTTTGTTGTTATACATGTAGTTTAGTTTTGTTGATTTGTATAGTGAAGATAGGAAGAGAGTGGAGAGGGAGAAGGATATAATGATACATAGATTATAGAGGGGAGTAAAAGAGAGTGAGAGATAAAGAGAGAGAGAGAGAGAGAGAGAGAGAGAGAGAAAGAAAGAGAGAGAGAGAGAGAGAGAGAGAGAGAGAGAAAGAGTAATAGAGATCTAATATATTGAATAGTGACATACAATATAACATAAAGGTAACACGTATATATAGATCGAAACGTATATACAGTGCGTCCCAGAAAAAACGAAACCAAGAATTATCGATGTTTTATCATAACTTAATCACAATTATAATTGATAAATGACACATATTTGTAATGCTTAGATCCTCTTCTTTCATTTGATGCAACTCATGTAATGCAAATTTGACGCATGAGTAATTCAAATGAATTTGAAGAGAGGAAAACAAAAAGTCATTTGGCGGACGGTATCTGAATTTCAAAGAGAAAATCACATTTCTAGAGAGTTGAGTTTCTGCCCTTTCATATGACGCCTCAGTCATGAAAAATGAGCTAGGAATCACAAAGTTTTGTTTGTTTAAAGTAGTGCTTGCATTTCCATAATTGTATTAAACGAGTTCGTTTTCACTGGCTGCCTGCCGTAGCAACAAACGGAATTTACAAAAGACTTCACTCCGTTTCGTTGACAATCAGCCGTACATGAAAGACTAAATGTGACTAAGTTATGATAAAACATCGATAACTCTCGTTTTCGTTTTGTTCTGGGACGCACTGTAGAATAACAAAAATTATATACATGTAGATAGAAAGAATAGAAAGAGATTTAGAAGATTTATTTGTAATTTGATAAGAATTTGACACCGTTTGTGACTTTCAGCCTTTAGTATGTATATCTGATCATTACATTTTGATAATATATGTTTATTTCAGTTTCTTATATCTTTCATTTTGTAGCATAGCACTCTTCAGAGGTCGACCTTTTCTGCCTTTACACCATTTTTATTCTCTCTTATTTCAAAGTTCTTTTTTCATTTCGCACGTTTACCTCGATAAAGTATCACCATGCAGATTTAGGATTCTTTTGTTAGCGTGGAGCATGCTGGCTGTCACATATTTAATATATGCAGTGCTAAGAGAGTGTGTCGCACGGTCACTACTGCCATTCTTTGTACTACTTTATCGTAGTATAATACTTTGTGTTATTTACATGTTTTTCCTTCAAACTATGATCAGTGTGTGTTCTTATACACAGTTGTGTGTTTATGTCTAGAACTTTTGCTATGTTGAATGATCAACCTATTAGTAATGCTTTATATTTTGTGTTATTTACATGTTTTTCCTTCAAACTATGATCAGTGTGTGTTCTTATACACAGTTGTGTGTTTATGTCTAGAACTTTTGCTATGTTGAATGATCAACCTATTAGTAATACTTTATATTATAATTAGTTTTCAACAATATGTTTAGTGATTATTATTTCATGTGTATTATTTTTCTTTCGTCGTCTCGAAAACTTGACAGGCTGATTTGTGATTAGTTTTAACAAATTCTGTGTTTCTTTAGTTTTTTATGAAGTTTGTGCTGTCGTTAATAGATTAATAATTGTCCTTTATCACGCCTCTATAACCCTCGAAAATGAAATCATAGCCATATTTTTTTAATGAATTCGTGGCAATTTATTTTCTTTGAAATGTACGAAGATAATTTCGGCTACAACAACTTGTGATGATGTGGATAGATTCATAAAATCATTTTTAAAACAATTCCATTTATGGTTTATAAAGTTTCTATAAACAGAATAACAACCATAAGGACAATTTGATCAAACCAATCCCTGATCATACATAGAATTCGATATGGTATTATTGACAGATATTGGATATCAAAGCAACGTATTTTTACAGGGTAATTGTTAGGCGTAGCTGTCCCTCAGGCTTAAACAGATCATAGAGAATGATCAAAGTATGTATTTACATAATTATAAATAAAGTGTGTTTTAATGGTTTTCTAGAATTGGAGTTAGAGATCGAAGGATTGAAAAGAAAGATCTACTCTAAGGAGAAAGACGTGGCTCGTATTGAGGAAGAGATTATCAACCAACAAAGATTGGCTGTCGGCTGCTTTAAAGGCATTCAGAAAGATTTCAAGTGAGTTGAAAGATTGATATATATAATCATTAACTTGATACCATAGGTTCAAATGATGATGTTGTTGATGATGGTAGGGGTTGTCGACTACCTCAAAAGCATCCAGAAAGATTTACATGAGTATTGATAAGTGAGTTTGAAGATTGGTGATGATAATGATGATACTTACGTGAGGTAGAAAATTATGTATCAGTAAGATGATGTCAATGATGAGAGTCCTTGGTGATAACATACCTTTTCAGGTAGGCCTATGCATGAAGACTTTAAAATGTTTGGAGCCAGTGGCGTAGATAAGAGAAAGGGAAGACTCTTTCATTAAAATTAAAGAGAGAAAAGAAAAAAGATAGAAAGAGAAAGAAGAGTAAAAAGGGGAAGGAAATGCGAGAAGGAAATGGTAAGAATTCATCCCATACCTTTCCCTCATTCTTTGGAAATGTTTTCATGACAAGTTTCTCGTTAGGTCGTAGAATATTACAGAAGCATGCAATTGAATGCTTTAACCGACACATTTCTCGTGCCCACCCCCCCCCCGGCAAAAAGCGGGTGATCCCATGTTTCTCCCCATGAAAAAAAAATATGGTTACGCCTCTGTTGTAAATATAAAGACTGTGAACTCATCTTTGTTTTAACATATGAAAATGTATGATATTTGTATTTTGATAAAAACGTGGAAATACTGTGAACTTTGAACATATAATTCTCTATACGTATCCGTCAAAAACATAACAGAACAAACAAAAGAATGTGGATGCTAAGAGATTGAACTTTGAACTTTGAACTTAGAATCCTATGTATCTGCCAAGAACAGAACAAACAAAAGAATGTGGATGCTAAGAGATTGAACTTTGAACTTTGGACCCGTATCTGCCAAGAACAGAACAAACAAAAGAATATGGATGCTTAGAGATTTAACTTAGAGATTTAACTTTGAACTTTGAACTTTGCACTTAGAATCCTATGTACCCGCCAAGAACAGAACAAGTATAAGAAGGTGGATGCTAAGAGATTTAAGAAGATACTCAACGCTATCTGTGTTGGAGCTAAGGATGGTCGACTCGACATCACTAAGGCAGATCTACCTCTCCAATACATCGCATTACCAGAGGTAAGTTTAAGCTTAAGGTTGCTTTCTTGTCTTTGTGTACTCTACTCATATTAGTATTCAACCAAAGAGTTACAACTTCAAAACTTTTTGTGGAAATAAATTTTGTATGCAAAACGTCATATACCTAAAACATATATAGGCCTAGTTTGAAATGTCTCACTTCATTTGAGTTAGATCAATCTCTTTTACCGTTAAAGGTATAGGGAAAGACACGTTGTGGAATCGGTCAGAAAAGGTTGATCATCTAGCATATCAGTATTCGTGTGTACTGCAAGGTTCTGGAATCATCAAAATGATAAGAAATTTGGCCCAGTCTTGGTAAAGTAACAAGCACTGTACACAAAAAGATGTATATGGGACTACGCGGTATCTATCTAGTACGGATAGATATAATAATTTACTAAATACATCAGTTGGCGGTTTCCCGGCATTTCATTTCATTTTTCGAGAGGGGGACGTTTCCAAAACTGGTTTATACCTTTAATATGTGAAAAGTGTGCATCGATAACGTTATTGCATGAAGTGTATTATATATAGAATAGAATACATGTAGAATAGTTTGTAGCTTATATATGTATTCAATAGTTATTCATATTAATTCATTATATTCTCATTTATTGCTGTGATACTTTTGTGTGTTAGTGATACCAGGCACGATTAGCATTAAATGCTATTTTTTGGTCCCAATCATCCTTTCAATGTTAACCATTCACATTTGATTGTTATATTGATGTACTTTTTGTTTTGGATAATAAACTTCAAACTCAAACTCAAACTCAAACTCATATATCTATATATTTAAAGTCATGGCATCTGTATCTTTCTTTTTTCACCATCATGCAGGATCTTACGGGTCACCCCATCAAGAGGAGCTCGGGCAAAGTGCTGTAAGTGAGAGCTTTGGCTCGCTAGATTATGATGAGGAGAAATAATAATGATAATGATGATAATAATAACAACAATAATGATAATAATGAGTGATAATGATAATAATGAAAATTATATATATATTTATAACGCGCACATATCCGTGATCTTTGATCAAGGCGCGACAAAAATGAATCTCCAAATTACTTAACGAACAGTTCGACAGGTAATCTACATGTACTGAAACTCGACTTTTAGATGAACAGATATGTTTTCACGTATGTTCGGTACTGTTCATATGAAACAGATAATTCAATTATTTAAAATTGAATAAGAATTACTAGATTCTTCAAATAACAATGTTTCGACCTTTTAAAAGAAAACACAAGTGAACCCAGACCGGTGAACCCATAGTTCGATCTCATAATTCATATAATCGTGGCTCGGTGGTCAGAAATATCGTTATGGAAATGGAAGGTCCATGATTCGATAGTCAGTGCATATAATGGTGCCCTAAAGTAAATAAATAGTCTTTTCCTCCGTGTCCTATAACTTACCCGATCTTGCTGTCAGCAGCTCAGTGTTTAGGAAATATATTAGAAAACGGTTAGTACTTGGGCCCAATATACAGCTATTTTCCTATAGCACCCAAGTCATTTCGATAGACTTCCAGCTCGCCGATGCTATCAAACAAAAACATTTATATTTTCCTGAAACATTGCGGGCCGCAGATTGATTTTTCTTGTCTTGTTTGTCAACCTTAGAGTGCGACAAACTGACTCAACACTTACCATCCCAATTATTGCATGGTGAATGCCCCGTATATATATTTTGCCCCTTCCCCCTAACCAGTGGCGGATCCAGGGGGGGGGGGGGGGCAAATTGAAATTTTGTTGAGGATCCAAAAAAAAAAAATGTGCTCACTACCCCCGCCCCCCCCCCCCCCCCCCCCCCCCACCCCCCCCCCCCCCCCCACCCCCCCCCCCCCCACCCCCCCCCCCCCCCCCCCCACTGCGCGAATTTTTGGCCGGCGCGTTTTTCAAATTTTCGGGAGCAAAAAAAAAAAAAAAGAAAAAAAAAAATTGTGCTCTGTACCCCCCCCCCCCCCCCCCCCCCCCCCCCCCCCCCCCACCACTGAGCGACTTTTCGGCCGGCGCGATTTTCAAATTTTCGGGAGCAAAAAAAAAAAAAGTTGGGCCCCCTCCCCTAAGAAATCCTGGATCCGCGCCTGCCCCTAACCCTAACATGGATTGGTGCCCCTACCCACTAGGCCCCGGGCCAGGCACGAACAGAAAATAAGGTTGAATATTTCACGAGTTCACCTCTTTTAATACATACCAAATTGTTCATACCTGCTATTTCCAACATTCTTCTTCTTAACCTACAGGGTTTCGAAGCAGGACATCCGACATCACCTGAGCCCTATAGGTAACGAGGCATCATCACCTCCATCATCACCGGACGCGAGCCCGTCATCAAGCCCGAAGTCGTCGAGGAAGAACATGAAGAACGGTGGTGAGCGGAAACTAGAGCCGATAGACGGATCAGAGGAGAATGAGAAAGAGGAGGCAAAGGATGTAATGGAAGAAGACCCGGGCATGGCATTCAGGAAAGCTACTAATGTCAGGAAACGAAGAGAGTCCAGAGCATCATTAACCTTTCAACATGTTCGTAAGTATACTTTTGTTATTTTGTTTTTTGTCATTGGGACACAGTGTACGTAGGAGGAGGGGTGTGCCCACCTGAAGACCAACTCAATATACGCGTTTAAAACTTTATATCCAGGCATGGTGAAGGGCGTATCCAGGATTGTTTAAGGGGAGGTGTTTTTTTTTGCATAATTCGTGAGAAAATATTTAGCGGCGAATCAGCCAGCCGGTGAATAAGGGGGGGGGGGGGGTAATTAGCACTCCTTTTTTCCACAACATCCACCCCACCCCTTGCCCCCTGAGCAAAACAAAATAAAAAATGAGGGCTTAGAAAAAACACAGATCAAGGGTATCTTTAAAATTCTACCCCCCCCCCCTTTATACGCCCTTGGGTATGGTTATAAAATATACCCATGTCGAGAAAACAATTCGAACAATGCTACATCTGCCCCTTTGCAAACAAAGTGTAAACTAACTCAGTATGCATGATATAATAATAATAATGGTATTGGTTTCATTTATTTATTTGCAGCACATCCAGACTTAGTCGACTTTAGCAATGCCCATCTGGACATCGAATTGGCATTAAAACAATTTCCAGAGCTTACCGAAACACAGGTAAGATCAATCTCATATTTTGGCTATTTTGGCTATTTTGGCGTAAAGTCTTGGTCAGTTCTGCTGGTATGAAAACCAGTATGATATAAAGTAAAACGTTTTGCTTTACAGAGACTTAAATTGCATCAAAAACGGTTGCCGTCGTTTTATTCTTCTATTAAACGTTATGTTCTATTTCAATGAAACAGTTGCGCAATCATTCCATCAATATTTAAGCAAAACAATAAAGTATGCTGTGACATCATGCAATAAAATGGTTTCATCTGTCATGTAGATGAAAGCGCGCGGGGGATAAAAGTAACCTTTCAGATTCTTCACAACTTATTTATACATTTCCTTTTTTTTTCCTTCTATTTGTGTCCAGATCAAGGACCATTACGATCAGTTCAGACGGTATGATACGAGTGGTGATCTTTTACTAGACTTCACGGAAGTGGTTCGAGCTATTCAGTCAACCGTTGGGAACTTTTATTCTCCAGCCCAAGTCAAGGTAAGCCGATCCAAGGGCTCATCAATAAATGTGTTTAAATGTTAGAAAAGGATGGTCATTTACGAAAAATCTGTACCAAGCAAAAACAGCCACAAACAAATCATCAATTTCCCCCAGTGTTTTATTGGGGGAGGGGGGGGGGGGGTAACATATATTTGGAAGAGGAACACTTTTCTTCTTCTTTTTTTTTTTTTTGCAAAAGCAAACGACTAAACAGAGAAATTGAAAGCAGGGCTTGGAATTATGAAAGGGAATAAACGTTCTATATCATTGTTTCCCATGCTGACAACTGATTTATAAATTTTCTTTTGTTCTTTATTTGAACAGGAAGCGATGGGTGAGATTGATAGTGATAATAATGATACTGTGGATTTCTCCGAGTATCTCACCATTGCGCTCATGGTCACGAACAAACGAGGCAGATCCGAAGTCTTCCGAAGTGGAATCGTCAAACATGGCGGACAGTCGGTTTCAAAATTATGTGTCATTCAGTGATGTTCTTGTCTATCAATGATTTTCTTATTTATTATCTTGATTATTTTATTTAAAGTTCGATCTTTTATTTAAAAAAATATAACCTTGAAAGCAGTTGCTTTAAATGAAAGTTTGAAAATCAGAGAAACAGATTTTTGAAAAAGTTTGATCGAATAAGAGATTTATTATTTTTAAAGATGAGTTCACTATAAATCATGCATATTTCAAATCGGCCAATTGGTTAATGGCATTCTAATGTATTTTTAACAGCCCTACCTTTTTGCTCCTACACTCGGAATTACTCAAATATAATGTTGTTGTTTTTTTTTTTTTTTTTTTAGCAGAGCAATATTGATGTAAAACATATAAATATATCATATCCATCATTTTTGTGAACAGTCCAAGGAGCAAAAAGAAATGTATATTTCGGTATCCAGTGATTTTAGTTTCGGCTTCAATTTTAGCTTATTGCTGCATGTTTACCACTGTGCGATACTACTTATAAAGTGAGTGCAGGTGTACAATATAAAGCATGATAATGGAACAGATTCGTTTCTAAATGCTTCATTGTCTGATGACCAATTTAACAGAATTAGATTTACATAATTTTATTTAGTGATCTCATCTAGGATAAGCAGATGGTATAAGTTATTAGGTCTAATCATGACCATTATCAGTATTGGACGATTTGTACAAAACATTTTTTTCATCAAATATGTGCCTTGTTTTTATATTCCACTCGCCAACTTTCACTATGTTATAAGACGAATATGAGTTCTGAACTGAGCGCTAGCTAGTCTGCTTCCTCATAGTAAACGTTGTTATATCACTGTCCTAAAAATACAACATAAAGGAATTCAAAAGAATTCTTAAATGTTTTTATTTGTCTCTTGTTTTCAACGAGCGTTTGTTATATATGTGCTTGTTATAATGCGGGGCAACTGTACCTCTTTTATAAGCCAGTACAACACAAAGTGGGATGAAAGTAGGACGAGTCCGGACCGGAGGACCTGGATCGACTAGACCCAGTAAGTCGGAGATCACGATACACTTGCAGGGAGGAGAGAGGGGTGCAAGAGGGGTGCAGGGGGGCTCTGGGGTGTATGTATGGCACCCTTATTTAGTTTAGTGAATGTGGAAATTGCCTTCTGGCATCCCTCTTATCCTAAAAGATATTTTGCCAAAATAAATTCAGAGAAATTCACCTTTATTTGTTATACTTCCCCCATTCCTCGTTTAAATTATTATTTTTTTAATGCAGATTTAATCAGAATAGTTGAATTGTTACTGTTATCTCAGAGGCTTTTTTGCAGTATTTGTATGCGTACTTAAAATTGCAAGTATTTTTTTGGTTTAAATATAATTTGTTGATTTACATTTGTATAGATTATGTGTAAATAAAGTAAATAAAGTATTATTAAATGTAGCTATATAGACCCTACGTCCCAAAGTATATTGATGTAATTATTAAGTTTAAACAAAAGAGTGTTTGGAGAGCGTTGATAGATAGGGAGAGAGAGGGAGAGAGAGAGAGAGAGAGAAAGAGAGAGAGAGAAAGAGAGGGGAGACAGGAAGACAGACAGAGAGAGAGAGAGAGAGACAGGGATATACAGACACACACACACACACACGCACACACACACACATAGAGTGATATACAGTGCGTAACCGAGAATTATCGATGTTTTATCATAACTTAATCACAATTATAATTAATAAATGACACATATTTGTAAAGCGAAGATCCTCCTCTTTTATTTGATGCAACTTTTATGATACATTCACGCATGAGTGATTAAAAACAATTTGAAGAGAGGAAACCAAAATGTCATTTGGTGGACGGTATCTGAATTTCAAAGAGAAATCACATTTTTAGAAAGTTCAATGTCTGGCCTTTCATATGACACCTCAGTCAGGAAAAATGAGCCAGGAATAACAAAGTTCTGTTTGTTAAAAGTAATGCTTGCATTTCCATAATTGGATTAATCGAGTTCGTTTTCACTAGCTGCCTGCCGTAGCAACAAACGGAGTTGACAAAAGACTTAACTCCGTTTCGTTGACGATCAGCCTTGCACAAAAAGACGAAAGACTTGATGCATGGCTGATCGTCAACGAAACGGAGTTAAGTCTTTTGTCAACTCCGTTTCATGTCAGCCTTGCAGGCTATTGAATAAATGGACAAATCTAGTTTAATTATAGAAATATCGGAGAAAGTACTTTTGGTATAGACATACATTTTGAGTGGATACCTGCGAATTGTGACCTACTGGGAAGCGAAAGACCGACAGTTTGGCTAAAAAAGCAACACAAAGAGAACACATAGATGTAACTGTACCACGGAATAGGTCTGAACTTACTAACCGCATGCGTCATTTTTATCAGCATATAAGGCAAAATCAATGGGAAACGATTATAGATAAAGGAAGATTCTTATTTCAGATCCATCCATATTATAACGAGACTTATCAAAGTATCTGGTTCTTGTAGAAAAGATGAAAGATTATCGCATCAAATGAGAATGGTCAAATGAAAATTAAACCTTTACAAATTCAGTATAAATAAACATGTAAATGGCCTTTGTATAATTATGAAGATCATCTGCACACTCTGTTGGCTTTCCTAAAAGCCATAGATAGATACCACGCATTATAGAATTATATCATAGAGATATATCTCTATGAATTATATACAGGTCTAAACGACAATGTCTACTTTGTCGTTTTTCACCTTCTCTCTCTCTTGGAGAGGAAGGGAAGGAAAGTATAGTTTAGCAGTGCACAGTTTACCTCTATTATTAATAAAATACTCGGACCCTGTTTATGGTCGACACCTAAATAAGTGCCCGCATCATCGAATGAACGGAAGCTGCATGTGATACCCACTGAATAAATCATCAAGCCTGAGAAAAAGAAACAGCGCCATCTAATCATCAGAAAAAACAATATGGCCAGGCGGAAAAAATCTTTTCAGATTGGACAGCCTTATAAACCCAACAACATCAATAATCTGTTTCATTCTTGCGTTTTACTCTGATGAGTGAAAGACGAAACATTAGATAGGAATAAAATAAATCTTGCAAAGGTATTCGAAACACAAGACTCATGTAGGCCTAAACTACAATCAAGACTGCTATACTGGGGCATTTACTTACAAGACTATTCGCCACACAATATATTATACGCCATGAAATATAATCATGTACCTAAGTCATCGCGGCCTCCAATAATACTAAATGGCAAATGTTTAATTGGGTTTTTGAATTGTAAATCTATGTAATAAACATTCTTGATTATTGTAACGTATTTTGCGAAGTGAACTATTATAGTATTGCTATTTCCTGTTAAGCTCAAAGAAAATTCTTTTACTGATAAAAAGGCGGGTATAAGTCGGTGTTGTGCTGTGTAGACGAGCGAGCAAAATGTTTTAGGTCTGTGAGTTCGCACTGAGAAAAATTACATCTTATAAAGAGGAAAAACACACAATCCAAATCATGAAAGACTGAAAAGATCTTTAATGAGAAACAAAAATATGTTAACATGAAATGCGAGCGTATCGCGACCAGGTAGTGTCAGGACGTTCAAACTGCATTCGAGCCGCATTTGAGCAGCAATCTAAAGGTTCCGACGGCATTCGAAGTGCATTCCAGTTGGATTATTTTGGTACCGAAAATAACGAAATAGATTCCGGCGGCAATCGAGATGCATTCTTGAATCCTAGTCGGGACGTTCCAACTGCAGTCGAGCCGTATTCGACTGGCAATCGAAAGATTCCGACGGCATTCGAAGTGCATTCCAGTTGGGTTCTTTTAGTACCGAAAATATCGAAATATATTCCGGGCGGCAATCGAAAGATACCGACGGCATTCGAAGTGCATTCCAGTTGGGTTCTTTTAGTACCGAAAATATCGAAATAGATTCCGGCGTCTATCGAGATTATATATATATATATATATATATATATATATATATATATATATAAATTATAAATACCGGTAGATTATATCATTTAAAAAAATGAAAAGATTCACAAATTATTTTCCCCAGCCTTTCATAGAACTCAGCCTTCTCTTTAACATGGAAAATGAATTAATGTAGGCGTACCATTACGGACATTGAGGCTTCAACTTCGAGGACAACCATCCTCGAAATAAATACCCCCCAAAACACAGAAAAACCTAAAAAGTGGTAATTTTACGACCCTGAATATAGCCTGCAATACAATAGGCTAAGGGAGGAAGTTACAGTGGGAGGGGGGGGGGTAGTGGAGCGCTTAGCTTTATGTATACTATGTACCTTGCAATGGTTTCCAAGTAAGTTCAACGTTACAATAAACGATGACGATTCTATAATGTAAAAGCATCTGTATTCTACATATCACTTTTTCAATATTTCATGATTATACAGTGCGTCCCAGAAAAAACGAAACCGAGAATTATCGATGTTTTATCATAACTTAATCACATTTATAATTGATGAATGGCACATATTTGGAAAGCTTAGATCCTCCGCATGAGTAATTTAAATTAATTTGAAGATAGGAAACCAAAAAGCCATTTGGCGGACGGTATCTGAATTTCAAGGAGAAAATCGCATTTTTAGAAAGTTGAGGTTCTGCCCTTTCATATGACACCTCAATCAGGAAAAATGAGTAAGGAATGACAACGTTCTGTTTGTTTAAAGTAGTGCTTGCATTCCCATAATTTTATCAAACGAATTCGTTTTCACTGGGTGCCTGCCGTAGCAACAAACATAGTTGACAAAAGACTTAATTCCATTTCGTCGACAATTAGCCGTAGACGAAAGAGTTCATGCATGGCTGATTGTCAACGAAACGGAGTTAAGTCTGTTGTCAACTCTGTTTGTTGCTATCTGAAGTCCATAATGAAATATATAAATGTTGGCCATTTTTGTATCCGAGCGTAAGATTCACAAATTCGGTTGTATTCATGGAAGTTTTTTTTTCTCCCAATAGCAAATTATAAAAGGAAATTGTACAGCTATATTGATAGCCCGACCTATATTGAGTCCAAATGGTAACTAAAGCAATTTACACACGTTTGTACATGGTGAGAATATTGGGAGAATGATTTATATTTATATATCTTTTTTCCAAGTGCATTGTATTTCATTTTTTATAACAAAAATGACGCAACAATTAAAATTGCACAACCTATGAAGTGAGATACAAATACACAAATCTAATTGAAATGAGCAGACGTAGGAAAAATCCTCATAAAAGGCAAGTACTTCTACTCATGGGACTCACATTTATGTGAATTAATTAAGAAAATAAGAAAGATGGTGAGCTTTTTGGGAAGGCTGAGACACATTTTAAATGAATCTTTTCTCAATCTAATTTATCAATCAATAGTCATTCCTCATTTTGATTATGCTGGCATTATATGGCAATCCTCACAAAAAACTATTTGGACTAACTTCAAATACTTCAAAATAGGGCTGGTAGGATAATCATTAAAGGGAGTCACTCGTCAGTTTCCATGTGCAGAAGGCCACAATTCGCTGACTCCAGACTTGGTGGAAACCCGTTGGCCAGTCAAGAATTCCCCCTAATCTCTCGGAGAATACTCGAGAGTCTTCGGTTGACGAAAAAGCAAAGCATTACATAAGGTCTAATGGTCATAAAACTCAAAGCATTACACTTCTCTCGTTGTTCTTCTCTTGCGGCTTCGTGCCCAAAGTAGTTGCTGCTGATAGGGACATAGATTCAGGGCTATGTGTGATATTCGATGTGGTAGCATCTTCTTGTCTCTTGACGCTATCAAGACAGGTCAGTCCCCACTGCTTACGAACCATTGGTTTACGAACACAGTAGAGCAGGAAAATGAAGAGTCCTTGAAATGAGTTCAGTATAATGAAGATAGGCTCAACCACCTGGATAACATGGAATAAAGATCATCATGACAAAAATATTGCGGTTGAAACTTTCATAACGTCTTTATACTCAAACGGTTCCCTGTTCAAACACACAACCTCGAGCACACATTCAGTTAACAACTAAATTATTCATACTCTTATCAAGTTTTGTAATTTTCAAAGTTTGTGAAAAATTGATTTGTCCAGATTTAGGTTTCTTGAGGATGTGACATATCAAAGCATAAATCTAAAAGCATTCACCAAAGGCCCTAATTCAACCAGTCCACCTTTCATTCGTGAGTTACAAAATACACCAAAAACATCAAATTTACCAGGGGTATGAATAATTCAATTGAGAACTGTATATCAACTTCAATGAAATTTCTTACGTTTCTGGTCACAGTATCCTATAAACTTTCACAATAGAAAAACGCAATAAATTTATGCTTCTCTTATGGATATTGTTTTTTCTACTTCACCTGACTGAATTCTCGGATCATCAGAAAGTATCCAGTGATCCATGTAAGACCAATCAGAAGGAGGATACAGATTGCATTTTGAACCCGTTCGATGTTCTCTCTACGTTCCACCTTGGCCTCTCTCTTGACCCGACCAGCGAGATTAGAAGACTTCATTAGTTGACGGACGACGAGGGCAAAGATGACGACGTTGAACAGGAGAATGATTGTCATGGGAATAAGGAGACCACCGATTTGAGCCCACAATTGGAGAAAACATCTAGAGATCCAGTAGAAATTGTGAAAAAAAGAAAATATGTAGAAAGAAAAATGAAAATCATTTATCACTCTCAAAATAACCTTGTCCCCATTGTCAAAATGTCACAATACACTAACATTCGGTACACCCCAAATATTATTACTGTTAAGTATTTGGCATCACCTATGCCTGGCAGGCAGAAAGCGATCTGAATCACTTTAATCCGTGGGTCTCATCTAATTGGGAGTGTGAAGGTGGACCACAACACCGGGGTTTCCCCTATTCAAACACGAATAGTGCGGTGGGTTCTTAACGTGCAAAGGTGGTGACTCTCCTGTACAGGGGCCTCCATTTAACGTCCAACCCGAGGGACTGTAACATGGCATGCGTCTATGAAATAGGGGAGGGGCTAGTTAACTTACAACGCCCGCTTCAGTCACCCGCCTCTGGGTCGGACTCGAACCCATGATCTTTGGTACTACAAGCAGATGGTTTGCTGACTGAGCCAACTCACCTCCTCATAATGTACACAGGTATTTGAAATAATGTGGTATGTGTTTTTGTTCGAAAGTAAAAAAAAAACAATATAATTTCCTTTTTTGATTAAGTGAACCATACACGACTGAGACGGTTTTGTGAAGCGAAATTTTTATAGAAGGAGATGAAATGCTGTATGGAATTTAAATTTGCTTCAATCATTTGGTTCATAAATATAAACAAGAAATTTTCCTAGCACTATGCTCCGTCCTGTTGTCGTGATATGGCTCTATTTTTGTTTACTCTTACCTTGTCACTTAAAGGCCCAACTGATCATGTTATAAAAAACTGCAAAACATTGTAAATATATTTCGGTTTGGAGATTATGATATTAACAGGTTCGCAGACTACTCACATATCTCCGTGCGCATATTTGTCTTTGGCAATGGCTCCAGTTACAATGACAATCATTGCAGGAATACCTTGAATTAAAAAAAAAAGGGGGGGGGGAGACAATTATGATTAATTATATTTTCACGTGTCAATTGACAGTTTTAAGGCCTTTCCCTAAAAGGAGAATAAGAGAAAATGTTCACAATTGCCATTGTGTGATTTAAGCAAAGTGAAAGGAAAGGATGAAGATGGCGATTAACAGTACAATCGCTTACATGACATAGCAACGGCAGTCATGAATGCGGCATGCATACATACAGGCATTCACTTAAGAAGTAGATAGATCTCCTTGTATTTTTTCTCCTTCTAGAAAACAACTTTATGATCAATTTGTGGATCACTCGAGAGATCTTTGTACGATTTTATTTAAATGGAAAACTGTTTTGAACAGTAGACAACAAAACATATCTTGCCTATTAATCCTGTTAAAGGGAAATTAAGTATCAATAGTGTTGGCAAAATTTCCCTTCCCTTCTCAGATAATCATTTGTCTGCCCCGAAATGTCGCATATTTTGATAAAGATGGTGATGAAAGCCTTTCACGAAGAAGAAATCATGCATATTGCTCTCTTTCAAATGCTGGCAATTTAATCTTATGGTGGTTGATGTTTATTTTACATGTATTAATTATATAAATCATTCGAAATTATAAATATTCTTTATAGAAAAACGCATTATCTTTTAATGATCAATTTCGATACTACTGATAACAATTTTGAAATGGTTGTACCCCAAGCAACGGCACCAGCTTTGACCATGAACCGTGGAATGTAGGTATCAAAGATCTTGACGATGATGAGATAAGTATTGTATCCCTCCACACCCATCCAAGTGAGCGAAGATAGAACGAAGTAGTGAACGAGCGCCGTAATGAACCCGCATGGACCTGCCTTTACTTGGTATTGACGTTTGGCGCTGTCCAGTGACATCATGACAATGAACGATAGGTAGAGACAGAGTAACGTCAGGCACAGGCAAATGAAGATCTGGTTGGTCTGTTTTCCCCTCAGAACTCTTTCAGTTTAATAACAAAAATGTAACATAAATTTGTATTTGATTAATACATTTATAAATGTAGTGCATATATCATTATTTAGCAATACAAATGTTGGTGCTAGGGTTTATAGATTAATTAAGGCGGTAGCAATATATTCAGCATGTCAAATTTGAATATTTCCCGTGCACTAGCTTGATTTAACCTTAGATCAAATGATAGTATTAATAAATCAGTACATGCTGTGAACTAGGCTGTTACTCATTCGAACAGAGACAATGCCATCATTTGGCAAAATATTGTTTTTTCATTCAGTTATCAAATGGATATTCAAATGAAATTCCTGACTCAATGTGATCACGTATCTGAGTTTACAAAACATCTGAAGGAATTTCATGATCTATGTGCTCTAATATAATCTAGTAGTTTTATGAGATGGATAATTATAAAAATTGAGATAAACAGGACTCTTACCTGTTTGATATATATGTTGCGAGGGTGACAAGTAGGCATACTACTGAAATACCACATCCTATGTACGTTAGAACTTCGTATGCCTGCTCAGAAGACCCATCCTCCCTGGAAATATCCTACAAATAGAATAAATTCATCACAAATTTGTTATCCAGCTCATTCTTCACCCAACCAAAACATAGAGCTGTATGAAAACATAACATGTATGTGTGAGCTCTGGTAAGTTTGGATTGCTGTCATTAATTTTTCGCCGAAGATAGACACATATTATAATACATTCATGAGAATGCATAGTGAGTGTGTTATTCAACTTGCCTGGAGTTAGTCATCATGTGAGCAGCCCCCCACCCTCCCCCCAAATAAAAGAAAAAAGTTCCACTCCTAAAATTAAAAACAAGAGAAAAGAACAAGGAAAAGATAAGAGAGAAAAATACAAGGAACAGGACCAGGCGACGTGCTCTGAAAATAAAAGACATACTACTAAAAAAGAAAGAAAGATCTTACCATAAGGACGGCAAAGTTGGTGAGATGGTTACATCCACAAACGATCTCCTCCTTCTCATCAGATGGAGGATCCCAGTTGTTATCATTTGATGAGCTAATGCCAGATGATGAAAGAAGCTGACACCCTTCTTGAGACCAGTCGCTAAAGCCAATATCCCAGTATGAACACGACGGGTTCGTCAGATCAGTCTTGTGAGAAAATTCAAATTGAGAACATAGTGCATACGACTATAGTTGTTTTCATAGGTGGTCAAATAATGCTAATAACATGTCCTTGTCTGATACACTGTATATAGTGAAATTGATTATAAAACAGAAATAATTATAACACATTGGAAATAATACTCAAAGATGACAATTAAGATGCACAGTTTTGTACATTTATTTATATTTATGCAGTAACTTTGAAAATGAAATTCCTTTAGGGCCTACCTCTATCGGGGTAAAAGTGAAATTGATGGGTTCTGTCAGATCTTCTATTTTCTCGTCCCCGATACTCAGTGATATAACAGGTGTTTTAGCAGATCGGTTGGTTCCTACACTTGTGTTCTTCAATGATTTAGAAATGAAAAGGGCTGGTGTGGAAAAGACACTGAAAATCACGCGAACAAAGCCGTTAGTATTAGAACTTCCTCCAGATATCAACGGTAAAGCGGAAGAAATCGCAGATGGTATGTTGACAACAGCAATGGTATCTGGTTTTGTAGCTTCAGCTTGATTTTCATTTGAAGTTTGGATGTTGGTGTCAAATTTCGTCAGACCAGAATTGCTGTCTCCTACTAACGAGAGGACTAGACCATTTGAGATGACATCGGTAGGTACGCTTTGGACCTGAAAAGTTCAGAAAAACAGAATTGGTAAAACAGTCAAATAAGAACGTTGCCTCGGTCATGAAGAGGCATAGTATACTACTGTGGAAATGAATTTCATCTTTGCACGGGTCATTAACAGATATCTTATTTTGAGGAGCGTTAGTAAATGTCAACTATAATGACAGTTACTATTACATAAATGTTGGTCTTTGCTGCCCTGCCAAGCGGGAAAAATTCGGATATAATCGGCATTTTATTCAACAAAGAATATCAAAACTTCTACGTACCTGCACGGCAATATTTGGTTGTTGAAAGCTAAAATTTTCACCGTCCTCTACAGGTACACTTTTGATCTGCTGCTCAAATACTTTAACGACATCACTAACAGAGGCTGATGCTGATTCAAGTGTTTCTGTGTCAACATCAGCGATGTTACTTACTATGGCAACGATGGATGCAGTAACCTGTTATTCAAAATCAAGTAAATACATTCACTTACATATTCTGAAAGCAGTAGCATAGTATGAAATAAGAACTTCAAATACAGGTGTGATTTGGGATAAAATTTGGACAGTCGGATTTGAAAAGATCTTTAAAAAATGGCAAATACTATTTTCACAATGAATTGACCTACAATTAAATGGTCTTTATTTTAGTAATATAGCCGGATTCAGTTGGCCAGTGAAAAGTTAAACACTTAAGTCGTAATAATAATTGTATATGTACGAATTTACTGGACACGTTTCACAACAAATAAGGGAGTTTACAAATACAATCTGCGCATGGGCAGATAAAGGTCATTTGTACCAAAAAGGTAAAACCCACAGAGATGAATACTGGATATGCGCTCATGAAAGTTATGTAACATTATTCATTTATGCAACAACGGTACATTCTATGATACGCAGGTGGAAGTATTCTTTTCAAGAGGGCAAACAAAAGGTATTCATGAAGCACATCTAGGACTTTGGCAGTTATTATGTTATGCTCAAAGTGGAACTTCTCCACGTGTAAAAGATCTGTGGATATTTGGGGGTCATTTGTACCATGTGCTATCTGTAAACTCCCTTGTTGAATTAAAACTAAGAGACAAATTACATAAGATATTTTTGGAAAGTGTTGTATTCGCGAGACTAAATTAAGAAACATACCTTTTCACTGTAGTTTGTTCGAGCACTTATATTTGAAATTATATTTGCAATCGAAAAAATGTCATCAGAGGAAATATCACCAGTGTTACTTGTCACCAAACTGACGTCTTCACTGAGCTTAGCAACATTCTCATCTGAAACGATAACCTTGGAACAAACGATTTGAATATCAGTGTTTGTTTTTATTGTTTTATAGAGTCATTCAAACAAAATGGATGTTATAGATTTTTTTACAACCATCTGCTTTCTACGTGACCAGGGGTGTCCACTTTTATGGCAGGATCTACTTTTAATCTATAAATATAATTGCTCACAAGAGAGGCTAGGTACATGCTGCCTTCATTTTAATAGAGAAATTCCCAGGTAAAAAAAAACAAACAGTTGAAACCAGTTGGATATTCAACTGGGTATCAACTGGAATATGTGCCAGTTTATTCTACTTGTTTCAACTGGATTCAACGGGTACCAGTTGAAACCAGTTGACACAACTGGTAAACTTCACATGCACCAGTATATCCCAGTTAAAACACATTGGCCCGAATTCACAAAGGAGGTTTGTCAACCGAGGTTTGTCGACAAACCTCCTTTTGTTATTTACAAACCAAGGTTTGTAAAAGCGCGTCGAAACGCGTCTCACATAAACCTCGGTTTGTCGACAAACCTCCTTTGTGAATTCGGGCCACTGGCTCTACTGGCATGCTGAAGACAACCAATTGATTCCAGTTGAAACCAATTAACCATACTGGTATTAGATTGTTACACCAGTTGATACCAGTTAAAAGCAATAGGCCTTACTGGTATATCTGCCTGTTGATTCCAGTTTAAAACCAATAAAACCAAAGTGGACCATTTGAGACCATTTGTTTCCAGTTGGAACATACTGAAATCCAATGGGTGTAGTTTACCAGTGGATTCCATTTGAAAGGAATAAAATTCAAAGCTACATTGAAATAGGCTTGATGAAAATTGCAATTTCAATTCAATTTCAAATTTATTCATGTTTCCAACAAAACATTACAAATCAATTAAAAGCGTTTAAAACAAATGTAAGAAATACATCTTGGAAACAGAGGGGTTCACTAAAAAGCAATGCTTGTACAAGTGTGAATACCTCAAATGATACTTAGGAATAATGAGTAATTAAATTAACTAATTCATAACTAAAAAAGGAACTACAAAATAAGGGGGAAAAGGGTGATGCCAACAGAGACGAGAAAGGGACAAGACAATGCTTTACACGACAAAGATAAAAGGCACGGTCATAATACAAAGAGTAGACAATGACAAAAAGAAGTGAGAGATTGAGGGTACAGAAAATAATACAAAATGGTGACCTGCATGTGGGGTTGAAAAGAAGATAAGGAAAGAGAAATGCGCGTTAGAAAAGAAATTAGCATGAGAAGGCACAATATAATATATCAAATTACATTTTGAGTCAGCGAATGGAGAATGATCTTGTATTAAACTAAAGCAACAACGGCATATAATTCAATGAGATATATATATGATTGTAATAAAAACAATTTTAATTTTATCTTAAAAGTATTAATCGATGGAGCATTTTTTGTTTCACTACTTAATGAATTCCAAAACTTTGGACCTTCATATATAAATGTTTTTTGAGCTGAGAAGGCCCGCAAAAGAGGTAAATGAAAATCATCTGAATGTCTTGTTGGGTAATTATGAACTGAGCTATTTTTAATTCAAGAAAAGTTTCTTGAAGCGGCTGAAATAGATATCTCAATATTGAAATTACCTTTGAAAGCTGGCCAAGTAAATCTCCGACATTTCTGAATTGTCCACAGTTATCCGTGGGATTGGGAAGCCACGTACTCTGTGAAATCAGATCACCGACGCATATAGCACGCCCGATTGGTTGGTCAGCTGTCAGACAAATTCACAACAATTGAAATTCATGAAATAATTATTTGATTATTTTTGTTAATGGGAAATGTCTTGATAAAATCATATGACTAATGGTGGCAAAAGTGTATAATTAGAAAATCAAATGTATAGCTGTAGGAACTGAAATCCTCTAATGTTCATAGCCTGTAGATTAATGTATATTCCCACCTTACGATTTAGGGGAATACGTCTTCTAGAGTGGCCCATTGGTTTATTTAAGTCAATTAGAATCAGAATATCTAATTAGATTTAAATTTTTCAGAAGGGAGAGATAGAGGCAGGTAGAACGTGCATTAGAAGCATCCTAATTTACCGTTTGCTGTGTTGAATGGACATACTTCAGTTGAGTTCGCCCACGTTCCGTTCTCACCCTCGAGGAAACTGATTAGTCCAAAACGCGATGACATCCATGTCGTAGTCTTACAGATCGCTGGGATTCATGAATATTTAAAAAATAAATAAAAGGAGCACTTTACGTAACACCATTTTCTTTTCTGATGAAATGAGACAATTTTGAGTTCCGATGATGGTCTTGCATTTCTATTAAAAACTGGATTAAGTCATTCTAGAATACAGCAACTCTTATATACGATTTTTTTAAATACAGGCTCATTCACTCACAATCATGTTTAAAAAAGGCATATTTCTTTTGCTCATTTCCTATGACAATCGTAAATGCAGTCAATAATTATGTGTAATCTTTAACCGTTGTAAATTGATTCTGTGCCAATCTATTTTGTTGTTATTAGTCTGTTACTAGAAGTTAAGATTGACTTCTAATAAACTTATAATCTTTTCGTATTGTTTTTAAATGAATCTTTCAAAATTGAGTCGCCTTGAGATAAAATACAATCCTTCAATACCGTATACATCGCATGAAAAGTATACCTATTGGGTCTTCGGATAGAGATATATCTTGATATAGATTTGTTAGCAAGTATCCAATTGGCTGAAAATGTGTCACCTGACACAACGATCTGTGATATATGTGTACCAAATATACAAATAATACATAGGTGTGAGTGCATTATGTCGATGCAACGCATGTGGGTATATATTCATTATAAATGTAGAGGTGTCGTGGTCGAGTATACATCGACGGACTGTCGGTCACAAGGTCCGTGGTTCGAGTCCCGCCGCGGCACTAATGTCCTTTGGCAAGACATTGATTTACATTCGCCACACTCAACCCAGGTTGTGTAAATGAGTACCTGGCAAGAATTAATTCCTTGAAATGCTGGAGCGCTGTAATGGCAGATATAGGCTAAAGCCGGGGTAAAAATAAATGCGCCTCAGAATAGAATTTAGATAGACGGCGCTATAGAAATGTCTATTATTATTATGATGATTATACGGCGCAATAGAATTCACGAGGCGTAGCCGAGTGTATTTTGTGCCATTGTGAATACCCGAATAGCGCTGCATCGCCATAACGTCACGAACGAAAACCTGGGCATTATTTGTTTCTCGATCCCAACCTAGAACAAAAACACCGAATCTGACTTCCATGTTATTATTATTTACTGGCACCCGCTATTTAAACCTGCCACGTCCAATAGGTAATCGACCAATTACAAAATTCAATATGTTATTGAATGGATTTCATTCAATTACATTTTTACTTGATAGACACAATATTTTGAAAACTAGTAAAGACTCACGAGTGGGATGAGGGATGACATCACAATGAGTTCCCTCGTATTGATCATAGCAGTCACATTGGTATTGTCCTGATCCTATATAGCTACATTCACCATTGATACACGGATCATGAACCATACAAGGGTCTGTAGATTTTTTATCCAGAGAAAGGGAGAGAGAGATTTAAAGATTAACGTAGGCATATGAATCAGAAATGGAGATGAGGGAGTGGAGAGCTACAGCCCCCCCCCCCAAGAATCAAGAAACAACCAAAATTCGGTCAAACATCAGCTTCTCATCGGGTAACGGTAAGCGATGAGGAAATCACAATGGCTGTAGAGGGTTAAAAATCCATGACCTTTTCAGAAAGAAGATACAGGTATTTGTATACCCAGGGATATCTTCTGGAACTTACTCCATCTTTCGCCATGGAGATATTGGTTAGGTAAGAACAAACATTTCACAAATATCAAATTGGTTCATGTACATGATGATAGTGCCTATGAGCATGATTATTTTGTTGGTTACATTGCGCTGATCTGCTGAATGTATGCACGAATGAGGTAATAGTAATAATACAATTAATAACAATATTATTTTGATAGAATTAGTATCCATGTATGGATACATGTACAAAGCCTGGTCGCACAGGTCCTTACCTTGTACAGTAAACATAAAAGTACAGACGGCAATGTTTCCAGAAGTATCTTTAGCTTCACATGTGATGCTAGTGTCTCCAAGATGAGAAAGATCAATGGATGTGTGAGAGCAGTTAATGGACGGATTGGGATCTACGTTGTCTGACACAGATGAGATGAAAGCAATGCTAGCAAGGTCTTGATCCGCGATGGATGTTTGGTCACGGCATTCCCAGCGAGGAGGCTCGTTGTCTGCGAAAACAAGTCAAAACTAAAACATTAGAACTTATTGTGTACGTAGCATCTTAAATCCTTACTGAATGTTTAGTTAAACTTCCTCGTTTTGCTTATTTATTCACGGTACCTGAAAGAACGTATATCATTGAAAGTTGTATCATACCTTGTACTGTAACCACGAACATACACCTGCCAATGTTTCCTGATTCATCCGTAGCATTACAGGTAACATTGGTATCTCCAAACTGGAAGACATCACTGGATGTATGAGAGCAGATCACAGGCAGACTAAGATCAGTAATGTCTGATGCATGAGGGTTGATGGTGACGTGGGAGGATGTAGGAAGACCTTGGTCCGTGGTGGAAGTTACGTCAGGGCAGTCCAAACGGGGAGGGTCGCCATCTTGAAATACAAATTTTGGGACAACCAAAAATAAAGTGAGTGGTGGCCTAATACATGGGGCACAAAGGTAATGTAAAGATGTAAAGGTGAGAAGGTCACACAAAAAAGGAGAAACGGCCAAGCTCAAAGTATTTTTTAAACAAAGGTTAAACCTCCCCTGTCAGATATCCTCTAAATTTAGTCGTGTTCTCTTGCATTACATAATTACCGGTGCATCCGGGGGGGGGGGGGGGTACTCACATATTAGGACATACGGGGGTGTGCTGCTCTAATGGGTCACTTTTTACAAAAAATCCCTAAAACATGTAAGAGCGAGAGAGAGAGAGAGAGAGAGAGAAAGAGAAAAAGGAAAGGGAAGAAGTGAGATGAGGAGTGAAGAGAGAGATATGGGGGAGACATATAATGGAAAAAACAAGACTTACATAATACAGTCATATAAAGACTTTTCGAAGTTCACAAACAGGGTTACATCATACCATACCTGTACAGATGACACCAGCATCTTCGCTGTGATCACAATTATTGTCTCCAAGTACAATATTAAAGGTAATACAAAGTTTTGGGGAATTTTCAAAATTGGGTGGATAGTGATTCTTTACAATTTTGATATATCTGGATGCCCCTTTGGATGTATTATTTGCACTAGAAAACTTAATTCCTGAAACACTTCTGCTTTCGAGAAAAAATTGAATATAAAAATTTACCGGTGCTCCCGGTAAATTTTGATAAATTGCAAATAGCGCTTATGGCCGTACAATGATAGCTGCGACCATGAAAATATCAGAGTATGTAGTTGTGATATATAATATCCAAACAGAAATAGCTAATCGGTTGATTTTAGTCAAGAAACATTGTTTTATAGCTTAATTAATCTATTGACCTTGAGAGGGAGCTATACAACATAAAGAGTGTATTATTTAAAATTTCATATCTTTGGACTCGGTTTCAACCGTGACAACGATCACTGAATATTGTAGGATCGCATATGCTTCCAATATGTTCACTTGAACCAAATTCATGACCCCATACCAAAACTTTGGATTACCTTTAATGCGGTCATCGAGGCTACTTTTTGATCCAGTACATTCAAATACATCAAGAAGAATTTTTCCAGAACCCGCACCATATTCAGCCTTGACTGGTGCACGTGACGCTTTGTTGTACCCTGTCATCCTGCATAAGCCATGGGCGTCGTTCAAATCCAATCCATTGTCACATACACTGTTGCACCATACCTCGATTCGACCATCACCCACACGAACGTCAAGATTGCCCCCTAAATCAGGAGTAAACAGGACATTTTAATAGAGGCTTGTTGATTTTTGTGTGTGCTCAATTCAAGACAGTGTTTGACTACGGTTGCACTCGGGATCCAAACGTTTGTATGAAGGACTTCACCCTACTTTCAGGAAAAGGTTTAGTTTTAATCGTTGGAGAACAATTTGCACTTGATGAGAGACAATTTTTTTCTTCTTCTTCAAAACAACATTTATTTAATATTGATCCGACCAAATATGACATCGGCTGTGTTGTTGACTTCTCCAATTTGTGTATAATTACTAAAATTGTTGAAATTTGCTACAGGAAAGAATTATACATGACTATGTAATGTCAAAAAGAATATTTGATTAGAAATAGATACACTGTTGGTCATAAAGGTGGAATCATTATTTTTACCCTAATGTATGGAATGATTTTGGCAATGATTTATTCCTAATAGATCTAAATAATAGTATACTTTCTCAGATTTTATTGAATAAAGGTACTTCGCCGCCCCCACAAATACAAAAAAACAAAGAAAATGCAATCAATTATCAATAATTCATTGCATTTTCCCCCGGTCCCCAACAGGAAAAATTCCTCTGTAGGGCCATGCATTATGGTTCGGAAAAAACGAGGCCTTCTGATTGGTTAGAAGTTAGAGAAAAGTGATCAGTCACGTCGTGACACGTTGTATATGCTTCGTTGCTGCACAATGCACAAAGACGGTGGTCAGGTACTTCACCAGTAGTACTCGCAAAAATTATCTCGAGTGTATAAACTGTGTTGTTATCAGGGGCGTCGCTAGACCTATTTCAGTGGGGGATTGGTGGGGGGGGGGGGTGAGAGTGTAGATCAAGGCCCCCGATTAATGACAAAACTAGCCACCAATTACCAACAAATATATCAATACCAATGTCCCAATTTCCACAAATTTAACCCTATAAACCCGGAGCCAGGAACTAAGTTATTTTTCAGTTTCCCCCTCCCGCGCTTTGTGCGGAATCTTTGACACTTCATTAAATTATTAGAGAAAGAAGACAAGTACCGTTCTGCGACTCTTAATTCTTGTTTCGCCCCTCCCGTGCGAAGCGCAGAAGCTATTTTTTCTTTTTTTTTTCTCTTTCCCTCTTAGAGGCGTTTATTCAATATTGATACAATAACTATTTCATAAGCTCAATGTATTAAGCCTATCCGATATTTGTCAGCTACAAACTGGTATGTTCATGTATAAATGTAAAAATCGCTTATTCCCTCCTTATATTACTGATCTATTTCCTATAAATGCAAGTATTCACTCTTATCAAACTCGGTCTTCTAATGATTTTCATTTCCCCAAAATACGTACATCCTATGCAAAATCTACTTTATTTTTTACCGGCCCAAAACTGTGGAATTCTTTACCAAATGAAATAAAAAACTCAGTGTCACTCCAATCTTTCAAACGCAAACTAAAAAAACACTTGATAAATTCATACCGTAATCAACTCCAACGTTAGTAGAGCTTCTTAACCCGTCCTTTCTTTCTTTATATACAAATTTACTTTGCTTTTTTTTTTAACGCAATTATTCAATTATTATTTAATGTATTAAGATTATATTTAATTGATCATGATGGGTGCCAACTTACTTAAGACTATTTTCCTGTCTTCCAGTTGGCTCCCTCCGCAATAATAACATGTTCTATATCATTACACTTTAATCAATCACTTATGCTCATTTTCCTCTTTGTCAATGTTACTGTAAATGTTCACATTTTGTTTTGGTATTTGTTGCTGTTATTGTATATACATGTATATATCTGTTATATGTAATGTACATCTTTGTAATTTTATTATTGTGGAAAATAAATGAATTGATGAATTGATGATGATAACATAATTTTGCTTACAATTTAGCAAACAATGAACATCAATAATACACACATTATTTTTTCAAATATAACTAAGCGAATTCGCAGGAAATTTCATATTTTGTACTTACAAATGTTCGTTTATTTTTATTCTGTTAGTCATTCCCTTTCGTAAATAAATAAATCAAATTAAAATCTCTATTATCTTAACCATACTTATTACGAAAAATAATCATTTTATAAATAGACCAAAAAGCAATCGTTATTATCAAATCGAGGTTCGGTTTCCGAATTCATTTTGAGTAATAAAACAATATATATCTATATTTTAAGATTGAAAGCATGTAAAACTAATTAAATTATCAAAGGAGGTTTCGTTTGCCTTACATGAAATAAAAGCATGAAGAACATCTTCAATCTCTTTGCATTTTTAACAAAGGTCATCGTATAAAAGACCCAACTAGAACAGATTTTTACGAACTAGCAACTTAGCATATTATAGAAAAGCTTGAAATTAAATTCACGTAGACGAAATTCTTTGATCCCAATCAAATTCCTATTGAAAATAGAGGACCATTTAATGTCCTTCTGCAAGACATTTTCCCAATACAAACAACATTTATTTATTTTAATTTGTTTAAAAGTTATCATATAATACCAATGTTTATTACTCAAAAGACTAGCAGGCTTAACTTATATTCCAAATGCAATGTGGGGGATAAAGAAATTATGATCTTTGAAATCCCAAAACAAGATAACGACCATTGTTGACATTCGTTTCGTTACATTATTAGAGAAAGAAGACGATTTGTTGTATTTGCCCTTGTGTAATTTCCGCCCCCCCCCCTCCAGCGCGAAGCGCGAAAGCCTTGACGTTTCAATAAATTATTAATCTTAATCCTTGTCTGAATTCATTTTCGCCCATCCCGCGCGTAGCGCGGAAGCTTTCACGTTTCATTAAATTATAGAGAATGACGAAGATGCATTGTAACGTTCTCTACTCTTAATTCTAGTCTGAATTCAGATTCCCATGATGTACGTATGGAACGTTTGTTCGCAAATCTGTGCATGCACAGTCCGAGTAGTGGGTAGCATGTTATCTCCCCGAGTGTGCTTGTCTCAGTAGCTTCAGGAAAAGACATTTCTCTTAGTGTTACTGTTAGTGGCCACTAATTAGGCCCATTAGTGACTTTAAAAAACATATGCTCTTCCTGGCTATTTAGGAATGTGTCAGTTTGCAACAGAAATGGGTGAACGCGCGTTGTGTTGTAAATCATGTGATATCACGAACATTTATAAATCACTTGAATGGAATTGAAAATTAGTAATTTTATTTGTGTGTGTGGGGTGGGGGGGGGGTTCTAGCGCCCGCAAGCCCCCCCCCCCCCCACCACCAGTACGCCTCTGATCGTATTCAATTTAAATTCACACATTTTTGGATCAAAAGGTACCTTCATAGCAATTGTAGGTTCTAAAAAGGCACTAGAAATGTCATGAATAAGAATTAGAGTGATAATTATGCACTTTAAAGGCATTTGCGGTCTTCAAGTTCTCGATAATTTCACATAATATAGTTGCCGCCGCATACAATATGACGTTATTGACAGCTGATTGGCTATAATTTGGTAGTGACGTCGAACGAGCTATGTTTGTGTTGGCAGTGGTCCAGCGAGCGAGAATGGAACTCCCGGAGCAATGAGTGTAATATATTTTCCTTATATATTTTCCCGTTTACTTGAACAGGCACAAACAAGAAGAAAAAAAAAGGGGAGGGGATCGATGTTGATTTTTTATTTTAAATAAATAGTGCTCCTTACTCCCCCCCCCCCCTCCTACCCGCTTATTCGCCGGCTGGCTGATTCGGCTTTAAATATTTTCTCACAAATTGCCCCCCCCCCCCCTTGCCGCCTGCTGGATCCGCCCCTGGACTTTAACATTCCTCTTGTAAACAAGATTGTCAACAATATTTTGTTGACTTTTTGTAGAGTCAAGATACTCAACGACAGAAAAAAGCTTTGGCAGTGTTGTAGGCATGTGAGAAATTTCACATTTACTTATACTGGATTGACTTTGAACTTGTAACAGACCATTACCCGCTAGATAAGAGGTATTATATGATACAAATCGCGGCAAAGGCTAATAAAGCGAGAATAATTGAGCGCTGGGTACTCAAATTGATTCCCTACACTTAAACAATAGCGTACCGCCCAGGGAAACACAACATTGCAAATGCTCTATCACAACTCACTATGACGTCTACTAAGTCAAGCACAGAAAAGGTAACGGAACAGTGCGTTCAATTTGTGGCGAAAGCTAGAATCTACACCAAACGCGATGACAACCCAAGAGGTTGAATAGGCATCAGAGGAGGATATAGAATTGATAGAGGTTAGAAGATTCTTAGATGAGGGAGATTGGGGCAAAACAACTGCATATTACACAACGAAATTAGTTAAGCTAGTAAACTAGGCAACGTACATGTAGTTAGGGCACAAGATTAGTTATTCCCAAGGAGTTGAGAGGGAATTGCATAGAATGAGCTCAAAGAGGCCATTAGGGCATAGTAGGAACAAAACAGAGACTACGGACAAAAGTATGGTGGCCAAATATGGAAAAGTACGTAGAAAAATATGTGCGATCATGTCATAGTTGCCAAATAACAGGCTCTACACCTAACTCAGAACCTACTACATATACACAAATGCCGACTAAACCATGGTAAGATCTGGCAATTGATTTGTTAGGGTACCTTATATCTGGACATGTCTTTTAGTTGTGGTAGACTATTATAATCGATACTATGAAGTTGAAATAATCAAGGACAAAACTAGTGAACACATTATATAGATGTTTTGGGAAATGTGTTTTGTAGATTTTTAGTACCTGCGTCAGTCACATCTGACAATGGCCCCCAATTTAGATCTGAGGTGTTCAAAAGTATATGAATGAAAACGGTATACAATCACCGTCGGACAATATCCCCTGCATCCCGCAGCAAATGTGGAAGTAGAGCGGGAAAATTGTTCATTAACGGTTGCATTATTAGGGACTTTCAGATTTGCGTGGACTGATACATGTGACGTCCTTTCAAGGCAGTGCATTAAAAGGACGTCGATCGTAGCAATCCACGTTGTCGTTGTGCGAATCTAAAAGTCCC